GCACCCAAAGAGTCCCTTAGCTCTTGGTGTGCAAATTCGGAAGCCATTAAAGGGCTATGACAATCCGAATGCCCGCGGCTTGGCAGTAGCTATTGAAAGGGCGCAGCAGCCTTATTTGAGGCAGTCTGGTACACCCCTCGTGGAGGGATTACCAGCAGTGACACGATTTGATCACCGTGTCCAATCAGCGCTGAAAGAGGCCAGGGCGTGCTTAGAGAAAGCACGAGATAGGCAGTCAAAGCATGCTGACCGCCATCGAAGAGAGGTGTCGCTTAGTAAAGGAGATGACGTCCTCCTTTCGACACAGCATATTACTCTCAAACACCCTGGGACTCGAAAACTATTACCGGGGTGGATTGGGCCCTTCACCATCCTCGACCGGATAGGTTCTGTCGCATATCGACTAGAACTCCCGGACAGCATGCATAGGATACATCCAGTATTTCATGTATCAAAGATTAAGCCTTATAAGGCAAGTGGCAGAGTACAGCCACCCCCAGTACCTATCGAGATCGAAGGTGAACTGGAGTATGAAGTTGAACGTATCCTTGATAAAAGGATTAAAAAGCGTGGGAGACGCAAAACTATGTTGAGTACCTTGTCAAATGGCTGGGATATGGACATGAGCATAACAGCTGGGAATCAGCAAAGTCAGTTGCAAATGCACAGGAATTGGTTCAAGCATTTGAAAATGGCAGAACACCGGTGATGCGAATGCAAACTGCATGAAGTACGGGATGTACATACTGAAACATGCTCATGTGTGCTTATGCTTTTGACAGGTTCTCTTGCGCTGGGCCCAGAAAAACACTGGGTATACTGCCCCCCGTGCAAGGTCGCAGGTTGGACACATGAACGCCATGTCCGTTGCGATCCTCAACGGGGAGAGGTTGGAGACCGCCGACCCCTACGTGCCATTTCCCCGTGCGCCTGAGCGTGCACGCGGACGTGGGCGACGGCGGGGTGCCGCACCGAGCCGATCTGTACCGGCGTGGGCTGCTGGTGGTACTCGGCATCGTGGTCGCCGATGAAAGGCCGGGAGGTCAAACATTTCCAGCCACTTGGCTGAGGAAGAGTTTTAACGAGGGTTGTGAAGGCCGGGACGGTCATGTAAAACAACCACTCTTTCTCTTCATCCAAAACTGTTTTGTGTGTTGTGTTTTGTTAACTGGGCATGTGGCAAATCGCACAGCCAGTTCCACTAACATACATACAATGTTTCTGCTCCCGTATTCACTTATACTGGGACGAGGACGCCCCTCTCCCTGAGGGGGACGAATGTTACGCGCACCAGCCTGATGTGGGAGACGTCCTACTAATGGCCCTTGGTGTGGGGGACGCCCTGCCCAAGGCACGTACTATTCCTCACCCAATGTAACCTTTATCCATATTAAGATACGGGAGTAGGAGGGGTGGTCCCGCCTAGGTGCCCTGTAAGGACCTAGGTGCCCGGCGAGGCGGGTCCGCGGCTCAAAGAGGGCAGGAACCCCACACCCACATCCTATTCGTAACAGGAAGTTTGCGATAATGTGGATCCCGGGGCTAGAAATAGAAGGGCCGGTGGTTTTGAGAAAGGAAGCAAAAAGGGTCACGATTGTTGCCCCCGTCGGCAAGGAATTTGGGGTTCGAACTTGCAGCCGGAAAAGCAAAAATTCCCTCTGTTCCAAAAGTCGCGTCCGATCTCCAATTGGTGCTATAACTTTGCCACATTAACTCATTCAGTCAATCTATTACCAAATTCGGAATGTTTGGTCAATTTTCTGTCGACACGGATCTTTATTGTATTAGTCGTAGCCATAAAACACAAAGTTCACGGCTTTGCCGAACATGCGACTGCCTAGTTTCATGCGGGTTCTCAATTCCATGCATTGCTGTGCTGGGCTTAGTCCCATATGTCCCAAGCCGTCTCCCCAAGACTCCTGGGGAACCTTGTTGTAGGCAACAAATAGGCACTACTCCACCCTTTCAAAGTTCTCGTGTTCAACATTCGGCCGTTTTCGCCGCAACTTCAGCCCTCTTTTTGGTATGTACGGCCTTCCAGATTTTGGAAAGACTGCTAGGTTGATGCTCTCGCACAGATCGTGGTGTCTCTTGGCCTTTAACGACAAACATCACGCGGTTCTTATTGACAACCCAAATGTTGTGATAAACTCTTATCCTTTTGCTGATTGACTCTGTTTGGAATCAAGCCGCATCCTCAGTGCGGACCAAACCAACAAAGCATGCCGCCCTCCTAGTGAGAATTAAGGTCGATCCACCTCCTCTGAACGGCAAAAAACCTCTCCATGTCCCGCCCTTTGTCCCGAAAAACGCAAAATTGCGTTCCAACTGCTCTTTACATATCGCAAGAACGGCACCGCCATTTGCCACGTTAGAGGGCGCTCTTTGAATAACTCTTTATACGGCTTGTCGAAGTTCCCACATTTTGATCTCCCTTTCGTGCAAACTTGCGATCGGACACGACAGAGGTAGTATGTAAGCCCGAGTTCTGCCTGGGAGCCGTCTTGCAGTGCTGTATGTGAGCGCCGTTGGGCCGGTGTTGGGTGTCAGTGCTTCCTGTGAGCACTCTGGAGTAGCAGATTTTGAGTCATCACTCAACCAACTTACCCTTAAAAGCAGGAACTTATGCAGTACTCTTGGCATATTACCATCACAATGGTGTTTCAACAACTGACCAAACAGTTCACAAGACTGTAGGAATGATTGCGAATCAATGTATTACAGTACATCGTGTTGTCTAAAACAACAATGATTTGAACGCCGGAAGTGGAGCTCTTCTCGGGCTCTTTTGACTTGGCATCAGCGACGACGCCACAGTTACGTTGCATCAACAGACCCAAAGCCCAAGCCGTGCGAGCGCCCCTTGGCCACGTATCGCAAATAAGGTGGGGCGCCCACCATCACGACGCAAATGCGTGTCAAATGCAAAACCCCCCACCCTTGAATTCGACACGGCCACCAAATCACCTGGTGGTCCGGTCCCTTCCACTTTTGATCCTTTGTGACGGCAACGTTTGTATTGAGCTCTGACCATGGGGCACAGCTGATTCGGTCCCAAAGGACATCGGCATTTGCCTCGTCACACTCCCTACCCCACCCCTCCAACTTCTCTGTACCTTCCCTTGATGGCAAAAAGTGAGCATTGGTCAGCTCCGCGCCCGCAGGTGCCAGGCGGCGCCTGGCCCCAGAAAGCGCCGATTGGTCAGCCCCTGTGCCTGCGACAGCCAGTTGGCGACCGCTGTTTCGCCCCTTTGCCCACACCGGCGGCCACGCCCCCGCGCTCCGCGCCAGATGATACACGCCCTCGGCCCCCAGCGCCCGCACCCAAACATACCACTTCCGCCCGCCCGCCCGCGCGCCCACACAGGGCCCCGCCGCCCCCTTTCTGCCACCCCCTCCCCCCCTTGATCCCGGCGGCAGCCGACCCAGTCACAAGTCCTCGTAGCGGCCCCGCCTTTCCACCCCTAAGCCAGTTCGCCCCCCTCCTGCGCCCCCCTCCCCTTTGGATTCGATTTGCTGGCGCGGCGCTTTGCGGTCGCTCGAATCGTTGCCCTGTCAGCACCGTTCGCCGCAAATCTATCAGAACTTTTGGGCGTCGAGATTTCGCGCGGGCGCGGGGGATTGGCGGGCCCCGGTGGCGGGGATGGCGGTCCTGGGGCGGTGCCGCAGCCTACAGTGCTGGCGGGGCTGCCCGCAGGCCGTGCGCACCGCGCTGGGGGGGTCGGCGCCCAGGCCGTGGGGCGATCGGGAGGACGTCAGGGTAGGGGGAAAAGGGGTGGTGGCCCGAACGGCAGGCCGTCGTTTGCGCACGCTAACGAGCCCCCGCCATTTGCATCCAATGCCCGCTGGGCCGCCCGCCGCGCCATGACCGTGATGTGGGTGGCCGTTTGTCGCCTGGCGTCCTCTGGCATCCGGTTTTTGAGCCCTCGACGACTTCGGCTCCGGCGATCGGTCAAGTCGCGGGAGGACCTGTGGGCCACTGCCGCGCGGTGATATGCATTGCCGGACGCGTCGTGCCTCAGCCGCACCTCAAGCCTCCTGGGGCGCCGATCGCCCACCGTTGCTGGGCCTCCCTTGCCATGATCTCCTCGTGCTTCAGTGCGCCGGAAGATTGCTCTCGAAAGGGAAAACGAAAAATGTCGTGCACCGTGCGCCGCCAAATCTGGTTGGCATTTGGGTTGGGCTCCCGGCACATCCTGCAAAGAGGCCTCCAAGCGGTGCAGCAGGGCACGCGGAGGATGTTTCGGCACGCGCTGACACCGACGGTGCGCTCTGCGGAGCGACGAGCCCGAACCTTGAGCGCGCAGCTTACGGATGGATGCTCATTGTCTCGCTGCCTCATTGCCCCTCCGTTGCTCACTTATGTCATTGTCTTGTGCGGCGCCCAGGGCCCCGTGCGCAGCTGTCGCCGCGCCCTTTCCCCCATGGCAGTGGGAGCATCGACTCTGGACGCTTCTCAGACTTTGGGTGCAGGCATGCCATCCACTCCACAAGCCGGCTCGCCGCTGCCAGCGCAGCCGAAGGCCCCCTTGGTACTCACGGTGACTTGAAAGCGAGCCACTTCGGCTGTTGTGACGCAAGCCTGGGGATGCTGCATCTTCCCATGCTTGGGCATGAAGGGGAACAGTCTCAAACTTCGGTTTTGGCTCACTTGTAATGGTGTTTCAGTGCCCCAGTTCATGTCTGCAATGCGTTCTTTAGCCTCTGGCGTTGGAAACTAAGACTCAGAGATTCAAGCGTCCTGGTACATTCATTTGCATGCTTGTGGGGATTGCCGGTGCAAAATATCTGTGCGGTGCATGTCCTGTGTGCTGGCATTACTTTGCTGGTGTTAGGTAAAATGCTTTGTCAGTTTGAAGAGCAATATCTACAATGAAGGAAACAGGGGTAGCGCTTTCTCTGTGTGTCAGCTTTGCATTCCTGGGGCGATTGATAGTGGCTGAAAATTATTGAGGTAGCTGAATGAAAGACCCCACTGACTTTTGTCATCATTTTGTCAATTTCCCATCCACTGACAGAAGCCTGTAAAACCACTTGAGTTTTTCATAACTTGTGTCAACTGCAGCGCTCACTGTTCCCCTAAACAGGGAAACAATCTGCTCAAAGTTCATCACATCAAAAGTCTTTTATACTGCGATTCATATTGCGATTATCCGCAAGAACACAAGGAACAGCACACACAAGTGAACACTAAGAACTGGAGGTGAACAACCAGTGGCATGCATTTGTGCAGCAAAATCCTGTGATTGCATCTGGCAACATGCCAAAACATGTGCAATCAATATCACGCAATGAAGGATGCCCTGTCAGGACAACACATGATGCAATGATTCAACTTGCATTATGTGAATGAGCACAATGATATGAACAAGATGACTGAAATGCAGGATTCACAAAGAGAAAGTGCTACTAGCTGGGTATTCCAACACATTATGGCTCTTTCAGCTAGAGAAGCTATGTCAGGGATAGTACCTGGCTCTTGAAGATTGGGCAACAGCACAGCACAATACTGAGTTCCCCTAAAACACTCTGAGCCAGATCCATTGAATTGCAGGGCACAGCAGGGCCCTTGTTGAACAAGTGATATGGTGTAAGCCACAGTGTGCAGTGAAGGGCGATTGCTGCACATCAGTGTACTGCATGATGAGAGCATCAGGGTATCTATTACAACAATTTGCATGAGTTAAATCTAGGCATTGCACACAAGGGGCCCTCATGCGATTTTGCAATGAGCAGAGCATGGAATGTTTTCTAAGGGGTCACAAACAGTCATCATTGTGGAGCCAACATTCTGACATAGCCTGCTAGGTAAAAGGGCACTGTTTTGCCTTCAGAAAGCATTTGTAGTCGACAAGTGAATGCAGCCCGGGCTGCTTTGGTGGGCCTTCTGTTCATCGACCAACTGATGGCAAATTGCGGCTGAACTTGTGGGACATGCACTGCTGGCAGGCATACGAAATTGTGAAAGGCGCGCTTGTTAGAGGATGCACCATGACGCCCAATGATAATGCACCCACCTTCGTGCTGGTCCATGGCATCTTGGGGTCGCGGAGGAACATGCAAAAATATGCTAAGATTCTTGTGGAGGTGAGGCCTCACGCCAGCCCTTGTTTTGGCTTGCCGATCTGCAAACTCTGGCTCCATGTTGAGTACTTTTTGGAGTCTTTTCTGTAGTGTGTGCAAGCTGCGCAAGAGATGAACGTTATGGAATTGGACACAAGACAGCCTTCCTTAATTCCCAACAGTGATTGCAACTGCCTGGGCTGCTGCATGAAGCGTGCTTTGGCAACTTTCACAAACGTGATCTTGAAGAAGGTCACTGTCCATTCAGTGACTGTGTGGGCTTTGTGCAGCTGTACAACACAAAATGCTTGGCTCCCACACAAGTCACAATATCACCCACCCCAAGTTAGGCTGTATGGCCAGCCCATGCCTGTCTTCAATCAGTTTGAAGTTGCTGCTGAGCAGTCCAGAATAAGTGTGTGGGATTGCTGGACACGGTGCTCTTGTTGTGTACATTCTGGTGGATGTCTGCCTTTATCTAACAGGCAGGTCTTTTGGCGAGCTATCTGCTTACTCCTGTCAGTCGGGAATGGAGTCTCAGAAAGGTTTATTAGGTTAATGAATACCCAGTGGAGGACATGTGTACAACTTCCTTGACAATAACTGAGTTGTGTTGTTCAGGGCTATCCAGCATGGCAGGCTCTGCTGGTGGACCTGCGATGCCATGGACAATCCGCAGGCTCAGCGCTTCCATTGCCGAACAGTGTTGAGTCGTCTGCCAGGGATATTCTGAAGCTGCTCAGCAGCCTGAAGTTGTTTCCTCAAGTGCTGGTGGGACATTCCTTTGGGGGCAAAGTCGTGATGAGCATGGCACAGCAATTTGGGAAGAGATTGCCAAGGCCTGTTCATGTGAGTGCCAGGGGATCTGTACTGTCTTGTACAACACTGTGCTGAAGTTGTGTGCCTGCGTTGATGTTTACGGACTCAATCAAGGTCCACAGAAGACGGATAGCATTCAGAAAGCAAACAGGAGTACTTTGCAATCCAAATGATTTTCCAAAGTGAAATTCTGGTGACTTCGACTGTTAATTGCTAGGCATGATGCTGTTTTGCAATTTTATTCCACATTGGAACGTTGTCGATGCCAAATGAAGCACCAGAGTATTTGTTGTTTGTTCTTGCCACAGCTGCCAGACCAAATGGGAAAGGATAGTCGCAATCCCAATCTGAAGAAGAAAATGAATTCGCTGGTCTGGAATTCAGGTTCTGGCTCAGCTGCATTTCTTCCCTTCTGTATTGTAACTGGCAAGCCCCCACGCAGAAGGCCCGCATCTCAGGTCCATCGGGGCAAGGACAGCGCTTGGAACCTGTTGCAAATTTGCCACAAGAAAGCCAATCCACGTGGTGTCAATCATGATGTATCAGAACAAGTACGTAATACGTAAATACAAATAGACTAAAAAACATGAATAAATGAATGGATAAACAATTTGTTATGTAGTATGATGTACAATGCAATGTAATGTGATATGAACGCATTGTACATAAGCATGCAGTCAATGTGTCGTGGCGAACCAAAGCAAACTACCTCGGCATTCACTGCTGTTGTGCTGATAGTCACATCGATGAATGCGATAATTGACAAGCTGTATCGCCTAAGATTACACACTGTTGAATGGATCAAACAGTCACACATCAGCTACACTGTTTCCTTGGACTGCTGGCATTTCGGAATGGGGCCTTCAGGGGTGGCAGAAACCAAGAGCCTGTGTCCCACGCTGTATCATTTTACACACGGATAAGCCAAGTCCGTGACGAATATCTTGACTTTACCCTGCTGCAACGGATCGCACGGCATATCAGTCGACCTGCTCATTGCTTTGCGCCGTTGAGCTGCACCGTCACACACCAGTCGAGCTCATTTCAGCTCATTCAGTCCGGTTCAGACGCACTATACGGTCACACCATCGCCCATGTGTTTGCAGGTGTGGGTACTGGACGCCCTTCCTGGCGATGTGCGAGCCGGCGAGCGCAACCGCCGGGACCATCCCTCCGACCTGATTTCCACCCTGAACACGCTGCCCATGCCCATAAGGAGCCGCTCGGACCTCATAGACCACCTCCTGCGGGCGGGCTTCTCTCGCGAGGTGTCCACCTGGATGACCACCAGCCTGAGGCCCGCCAGCGCCACGGCCAGGAGGGACCTGACGTGGTCGTTCGATCTGGCGGGGGTGGAGGAAATGTACAAGTACGGCTACGGTTGTTGTGATGAACCTTTGGATTGCGAGTGTCGGATTGGCAGCACGCGCCCCCCTTGAGCACGCAACGTGATGTCAGGCATTGGTCCGCATGTGGATTGCCATTGCCGGCGACACGCAAAAAGGATTGCTATTTGATAAAATGTGATGCTACAACAGATGCCGTCACACATGATAATGTAAACAAATAAAACTTTGGAAAGCAAGAAATCACCATACGAAATCACCACGTTTGCGAAGGTAGGGGCTCATAATGGTGTGCTTCACGATCGTCCTCGGCCAGCTCTGGAATTGAAGGTTGCGTCGTTAGTGCACCACCTGCGCCAGCACTGTGCAGGGAGTGATATGCCATGGCAACATGACATGGAACTGTGTGCGCATTTTGGCAAATCATGGATTTGGGTACGGGTATGGTGTTTGCCATAATGACATGCAGCAAATTCTCGACGCCACCCCCCTGTGCAGAAGGTTCAACGTTGGGCAAGATGAGTAGAACAGGCAACGAAGCATTTTCAGCAGAGAGATGGCCAAAGAAGGCCATTGAGTGGCTTGAAGCACGCTGGCCTGATAAGTCTGTCAGCCTGGACTGTCTAAGGCTAGGCACAATGTTGTGCACCTACAATCCCGGAAACCAACATGTGGCAAATGCACCTGTCTTTGGAGGGTAAATAAAGGGGCACCCATGCGTGCAATATAGCTTGACACAGTGTTTGTGTCATATGACCCATCCAAGAGTCAATGGTCAGTAGAGATTCTTCAAATCCGAGCAAAAAGATGTTGGGTCCAGCATGCGGGATGCTGTCATTTCAGAGGCGATACCTCGTCTAGAACCAGCTGAAATATCCGTGCTTGCCAAGGTGGTCAGTCCCGTGTGATTGTGTGCCATTTGTTGGCCCTCCTGGCAGGTTTACCCTGCTGCTTTCCTTTCGTGGTATGTGAATTGGTTGTTGAGTTGTTTTTCTCTATTTCAAAGTTCTGTATCACAATAAATACTGTACAATCGAGAAAAAAACTTTCCAAAATCAAATGGCTGGAAGGGGATAATCATTTGACTGGTGCTGTGTTGCGGCCATTTGTGCAACTTTGATGCCAGCCCTTTGCTCTGTCACGTGCGAAAAAAGTATCCACAACGATTCCAGGACACGGTGGTCGTGTCTGCCTGTGTCGACAGAAGGCACCAAAAGCATAGGCGTTCCATGCACGACAAGGGATCAAGAGAAATTTGATTCTGAGAATCTACTCCTTAGCAATGCATAATGGTATTGAACCGAATACCTCAGGACGGAAGAAAATTCACCAGAAGGGAGCCCCGCTCTGTGTTGCAACCTTTGTACTCCAACCGCCTTTTCGTCAGGGGTCTCACTGAGGTCGTGGCGGGGCTCTGGGCCAGATACTCAGCTGGCAATGCTGGTGATGCTCAGGTCGTATGAGGACACCAACCTCTGGCCACTCCTTGTGGATGTTCCGGAAGGGCTGAAGCTACACTTTGTCCGTGCGGAGGGGAGTCACTACAAGTGGGCGGGTAGAGACCACGAGTTGATTGAGTCCTATGGCCACACAGTGCACCTCTTGAAGAACGCAGGGCACTGGGTGCATGCCGACAATCCATGCGGGCTGTTTGACATCATGAAGGACTCGATAGGGACTGCCGACTTGCACGTGCGGCGTGCCCAGATGCCCCGATGACGATTCGTTGCGTGGGAGTGGCGGTGGGTACCGGGAGGATCGATGCGGTTGCCTGCATCACAGGATGTGGATGCCTGGAGGCAGCTCTGGACTGCCGCTTGGAGAGTTGGTGGATGCGCAGCGGTCCCACCATCCTTGTGGCGCTGCGTGATGTCATGTTGCCCGAGGAGGTCGGCAAAATGCAGGCCCTGTGAAGTGAGACGAATGCCGGTCGAAGGTATTGTGCTCAGGGCTGATGCCGGGCGAGATTGCTCTGACGTGCAGAGCCTGCGAAGTGCCCGTCCCTTCGCGCCTGTGTTGAAGTCAGCAAACTCAACCAGGATTTAGTGGGCGAGATGGTTGGACGGATCTTATCTCTCCTTTGGCATTTGAACGTGTCGATGCAGAGATGAGATCACCTTTGGCAGGAATTGGATACCATGTTCGTCGAGGTCGATGATGCGACAGCCGTGGCCTTGGCACATTGGTGAGCTCGTGGTGTGAATACTGCCGCCAGGCGCCCTGGATCGTGAGTCGTTACAATGGCAGCTTGCGTACATGTGTATACATGGGCAGGCCGAAATAGGAGAAGTACATGCTGATGAGGTGTGGGTATCACAAGTTGACGCACACTTGTCAACAAGTTCATTCATTCCATGCAGCAGTACTATTGTGAATGGCTTCCCAACGGACGCTTATTTAGCGTGAGTGCTGCTGTGAACCATTGTCGCTGCTGAAAGCATGTGCTTGGCCAAGGTCCCGACCTGGACGATGCTTGTGGCTTCCACGCCGTCCAATTAGATTGCATCGCTATGATGCGGATACCAGAGTGTCAGCGTCCAAGACTGCCACGCCACGAGCGACATTCTCATCATCCGTACAGGCGGTTGTTTTTGCACTGTGGGCCCAGCATGTACACATAAGAAACAGTGCAGCATCGCCTTAGAGTCCATTGCTCACTCGCGCCAGCAATGGACGAGACAACAACCGCTGCGACTTCAAGCATGGTGAAGCCATTTCAGTGTCAAGTTTCAGGGAACAGTCCCCTGGCCAGTGCCGCGCGGATTTCAGAAGACCCATCTACCCCCACCCCACCCACCGACCCACGCGTCCTCAGCAACCCCTTATCATCTTGGCCCCTTGTTGGGCTTGCACCCGTTATGGTCTGTGCCCTCTAATGAAGTGGCGCTAACGGCATTTGGGCAGGCGTTTAGCTGTACCCTTCCAACAAAAGGGCACCCACCTATCCCAAACCTTTGGGGAAAGCGGCAGGCCTGAGGGCTAACCCAAACCAGGGCCTAAAGCACAAACCGTTGAGGCCGTGTGCATGATCGACGGCGGATGGAAGGAGAATGATGCAGCCGGTGATGCGATGGGGCAAAGAAATAGTCAATTGCGCTACAACGACACCAGTCAGGACTGGAAGACGGAAGCAAGGCCTTTGGAACTATGCTTCCCTGTTTGGCTGTCTTCCCTGCTTGCACCTTGCAAACGATTGCTAGCATCCATACATGTCAGGATTCCTGTCGGTCACTCATCCATTTGGTTTGTCCGTTCGTCAATTGTCCGCAACTAAAACAGGCGGTGGCCGAAGAGAGGAACCAAATTCTTATCCAAGGAGAGTTCCCAGCTCGATGAGACTCCCTGTCATACTCCGGAATGTGATGGATCCATCGGATCATCCTCACGAGGCACACCAGTGCCATGCACGCGGCTTCCACGCCGACTCTTCCACCATAGGACATGCTCCTCGCTTGCAACCATGTCTTCAATAGCAGTATCGGGGGGCATATCCACCAAGTGGCGAGTGATGTCGTCTATCAATTTGTCCGGTAGGACCTTGCAATATTCTGAACTCTCTGAAGGGGCAACCATCAGTTATCAGACCAGCATTCCATCTTGATAGATGCAATTGCAGTGGCGCTTTGGCATTCGATCGAAACGCACAGTCCCACGTCATGGTGACGACAGCGGCTGCCGTGGCCGGCGCAGCTCCCGGTGCACGGCGATGTAGCGCCAACTCATCATCACTCGTTGTCGCCGCCATCATGATTGAGGACCCCGTGGCTCCAAAATAATGTTGCGCTAAACCGACTGCACCACCTGCGATCGTGGACGGGAAAGGGGTATTGTTGCAATCATAGTGCTATGCGCCGATATCCTGCCAACCCCACTTGTCAAATGTTTGCCCCCTCACCAGCACATCACGTCACATCACATCACATCGAATCATTATTGCCACACCAGGTGCGGAATGCTGGTCCTCGTCACGGTGCAAAGTACAAAACTGTACTTAGGGGTTCACCTCATTGCCCGCAGATGTGCGCTCTCTTGGGAGCACGATGTCTAAGTCCATAGTGTTCACAATCCGTAAATCGTCAATCATTTTCTTCACTGCACGTGAGATATGCTGGGCATATGCTAGGTAAAGTGCTGTGTTCAATTGCTGCTGGTCGAGTTAATGGAATGCTGCTCCCTTGGCAAATTGCATCGCAAGATGGAATAGACGGATAACGGATAACCTCTGCGCGTGGCCAGCAAAACAACATGCCTGCCGTAGGTAGCTCGCAAAAGCAACATACAGCAATGTCAGCACAGGCATCTGTGGGGTATCCTATGCAGAAGCTCCGGCGGTAGACAATTTCAGGAACCCAAATTCAACTTGATCACAAGACACCGCCCAGTCTTGTGGCTTCTCTTCTGACGCCAGTTGGACAGTCCAACTCTGCTGTTCTTGCCATCGCGTACGCCTTTACTGCTATAGACGGGCACAGAAGAGGGCACCCCTAAGTTACAAACACAACGGATTTCTGTGTGCACAATTGGGTTGCTAATCTTTCAGGACAATTCAATACAAGCAAGTACTGTAACTACCGAACCTTATACCTCTTCTCACAAAAAACAGAGCCTAATAGGCTCATGGGACCTTTGCCACTACGTGCCCAATGGCCAAAACGATATACACGTCGCCTCGATGCAGGCCAGATCTTCTTCCTTTTCGTTTTGCGGGTATCAAATTTAAAATTTTCAGACTTGAATCTGGGACGGCCATTCCTGAAGGCCAGGGTGATGCTTCAGCTAAGGGCGATTGTCTAGATCTGTTGGGCAAAATGTCTTTCCCATGTCGTCAGTAATGTATCGTGGATGGATCCCATAAATTGATGCAGCAATGATGAAAACTTGGCAACAACAGTAAAAGGGAACTGCAACAACATCTGTGGACACGACGGCATGATGACATCCTCCAGGAGGCATCCTCTGTGTCCAGAAAATTTCATTCCTTACTGCATAATTTGCACCAAATTTGATTGAAATCCTAACCAGGTAGTGTTCAATTGAATCTGGTCGCAAGCAGCAATCTCAGAAGAGAATGAACGCCGAAGAGCGAGTCTTTTGAACAACAGCACGTCTTGATCAAGCACGAGCTGCTCGTTAGATTGCATTTGACAAATGAAAATGTCATGGCATAGCTCAGTACCCTGTTGAAGTGCGACCATTGCGCGTTAAATTAGTCCGCGGTCTTATATCCTTGCACACTGTTCGCTCATTTTCACCCAGACCCCCTTCCTTCAACTCACATGGAATCTCTCGCTCAAAGGCTCTCTGTCACGGGGTGGGGGTGGGCAAAGGGGAGCGGGACCCATTCCGTGCATTGCGCTGGTTCCAACAATCGCCCATTGGCCATTAGATTCCGATGTCAATCTCCACCGGCTAATCGCCAACGCCGGCCACCGGGCGCTGGCATTCGAAGCAACCAGATAGTTTACCACCCCAGCGAGGTACTGCCCAGCTCTCCATTCCCCATTTCCCCACCTAGCCCTCCACATCCGCTCAGATCAACGAGCGGGCAACGGGTCAGGGTAACGCTCGGGGCCCCTTCTGGCCGTCGTGGGCATCGCAGCAGCTGCCCTCGGCGCGCACGCTGCCCGAGGCAACTGGCAGGGAGTCCCGGCGCATGTTGGGACCTCCTTGATGTATGCAAGAGCATCAACCTGTCAGATGTGCCAAGGTCTGGAAGATGGTGCATGGTGGTGTTACCCAAGAGACGGCCTAGATTGAGGCCAACGCAGCCAATCATTGAAGATCAATCATTTTGGAAACACATTTCAGCACAGCAGAAGAGATGGTCCACAAATAATATGAAAACAATGATGCCAGAAACTCTTGAAGGGTACCATAATGCTGACATGTTGTCTGCAACAAGGTTCTTCAAGAATTTTGGGGACACGGGTGTAGGTGAGGACAAAACTGTTGGGAACTGAGGCCCCGCAAGAATGGGACGAGGACACTTTTGATAAATCCATGAATTCCTTGCCTTATGGTAATGACATATATGATCAAACTCCATATCAACCCAAGTTGAACCAAGGAATCCAAAGAAAATGATAGCTTGACCAGTTGAGTTGGTCTTGCAAAGTTACGCCAAGTTTGGATAATGGACAAAACTTTTGTAACGATGGTACAATAGGCTCATCATAAGATTCCCAGCAACGATCTCCCTAAATCAGCCATATTGGGCGGGGTACAATCAAGAACCCATCGACCAGCATGAGGCAGCGGGGTTCTCGTGAATAGCCCGGCGGGCAACCGGATGGCGGGGCAGGCGTTGGGCAGTAGTTCCCTGAGGGCCCTGGGGTTGAGCCCGTGAGCCCAAGCCAAAATGAACCAATGCGTCTGCACAGGGGCAGCCATTCCGTCCCAATGTGTCCCAAAGGCGGCGCAAATGTTGGCGTTGATATGGCAGCGACTGGTCCATCAGTGACGGATGGTTGTATGACTGTAAAGGGACACGCCTGTTCGCGACCTATGTGTAGCACTGTTCCCTCAGCCGTGTCTACCCCAACCCCAGCGTATCAGCGTACAGAATGTAAATCAGCCTTAACGGCGGGGTACAGAAATGTACTGCCGGTACTGCTGTACTTGGAAATTCGTCAGTATCACGACCCCAATGATGCCCAAATCTGCGCAGGCGCAGCCAGAAAAGAAATCTTGGCTCGCCCATGGTGCCCAACTGTAGCTGCCAGGCCCCTGCTGTCGCCAGGCGATCGGCCAGACCGATGGCGACGGATGGTTCCCTGTCCGGAGCGTGCCGCGTGCAGTCTTCCCGGCGGGCCACCACCTCGGGCGCATGCCCCTTAGGCGGCAAGACGCCGCCCCAGCGGCTTGGCTGCCAGCGGAGGGGAACGGCCCGGCAACTGCGGCGGCCGTCATGGATCACGCGCACCTATCCGGAGCCCGAGACGGAGAAGGAGAGGTCCCCGCTTGACTACCCACAGGTGGGCGATTCTTCGTCGCCTCCGACCGCTGCGGTTTTGGAAGCATTTGGAGTCGCTCGCCTCGGCATCCGTCATGGCAGCGCTGCGTTGATTGCGGGTCGCTTGTGTGCGAAGTCGCGGTCATCAGCACTTCTGCCTGTGCATTTGCAGATGAATGGCTCCCAACATTTGACTCGTCGGACACCTTATGGCACATTGGATGTCTGCTGGCCGGTGGTGTCCTGCAACAGCTGGTGGCCATCACCGAGCCAGAGGCCAAATACATTTTTTTGGTGGCCATCGTGATCCCCAGTGGGTCTGGCTGGCCCTGAGACATGTGGATAACGTTTTAGAAACGCTGTTCGACGCTGCTCGCTGGCTTGTGGCCATGGACACGGACACCAAGTGTAGTGCATGGTCTAGGTGACGAAACGAAGGTACCCCACCTATGTGGCAAGAACACGGCATGTGTTTCAACGCGAGGTGCATGTTTGGGTTTGCAATCTTACAAGTGGTTTGCAACAGTTACGTGTATACGCTGTCTGCACATTACTCCCGTGTACAGGGATCCGAACAAGCCGTGGTGACAGGGATGAAATGAGACAACCTTCTGGCGCCCAAGCCAAACAGCCGTTGTGTTGAATTCCGGCATACAAAGGTTATCTTTGTAACTTCCGTTGTCGAGTGGGCATCCCGTTCCTGAGCAAGAATTGTGAGGCAGCGAATTAGTGCTGTAGTCTGCTTGCTGAGATCCGAGTCTTCTTGCTCAAAGTTGAAAGCCCTTTACACCCCAAAGTCACGAAAGCCCTGTTGAAGTTGAAAGCCCTTTACACCTCCAAAGTCATGAAATCAAGAGGCTACTGTTTTCGCCGAGGGCCCACATTGAGAATACAGAGTGGACTTGTGGAGTGATAGTTCTTTCCATTCTGTGAGGCATGACGCAGAGGTCTCCATCATATCTCTGCGATTCCCGTTGATGTCATTTGAAGGAATGCCACCCTGTGCTTCAGGAATGGGTCACCCCTCAGCCCAGCCGAAGGCCAGATATATTTCCAGAATTTGAGAAATTGGACACACCACTTCCTAAGCCCCTGCCAGGCGATCCTGAACAGCCAGATGAAGAAGAGGAAGAGGAGAAGAAGAAAAAGGGGGACCCAAAGCCTGAAGAAGAGCCTGAGAAAGAGGAGCCAGAGGAACCTCAACCCGATACAGAGTGATGATGTGGATGTTGATTCACCATTCCAGTGCCTTGTGGGTGAATGGCCTGCTGAGGCTTTAGTTGTCTGTAAATGCTTTATTTGCATTTGTTGATAACCAGCATAACAGTGCCCTTGAATCTGAAGGACTGCATGGGGAGCAATTCCCGATACAGATTACCAGTGGGCTAACCAGTGATGTCATCTGGGCGACAACTGGTGAAATTAGACTAACTAGTAAGTCCATTCTCAGCTGGGTTGGTGCTGAATCTGGCCAGCCAGTCTCCAATCTTCCATAACGGCAGAGGCACACAAGGGTCGCAAGTTTAGGCTAGAAATTTCCTGTAAAATTTTGGTTGTGGGTAGTACATGGATATTGGGGGTGCAATGCTGCCAAGATAAGAGCTGAACATGCGCACACCATGCTTCGAACTGTTTATATACCCGGTGTCCCAGAATGTGGTTTGTTGATATGTATTTAATCATGATATTGATCCTGACTTGTGTATCACAGATATGACACTCCATATCCAAAGATATCATATCCCCAACATTGCTCTGAGAATGGCTCATTCCAAGCCCGAGATTTTGAAGGCAGCAATCTGTGGCTCCCCATCTCCACTGGACGAGGAGGAATCCCAGAGTCAAACTCCCAAGGTTTGTCAGGTTTGAAGAACCTTTTCAGGGTCAAGGACATAAAGGCGAATGTGGCAAGGGTCTTGCTATCATGGACTGCTGACAAGACAGCAGCTGCTTCAGGAGGCAGTCAGGAATCTGCACTTGGAGAATTTGCACACCACAATTTCTTGACTTCTTGATCGTTGACATAGAGATCAACTTCCAACACAAAACTTGGCACCGTCTGGACTGGCCTGGTGACAGCATCTTTAGTTGTTGGGCCCGCATCAACAACACCACAACATCACCAAGCTGGGTGACAGTTGGCTCCTCTACAGATCCGTTCTCTTCTGCTGCCGCATTCTGCCTGCAGCTTTCTCCCCCCAGATCCACCTGCCAGTGGCAAGTTTCAGTCTGGACCTCAGGGATCCCCCACATTTCAGCCACCACATCTGGCACTGTTGGTTCCCCATTTACGGGCTAACAGAGCAAAGCCCGTCCCTGGTCGCTACCAGAGCAAAGTCCAGCCCATGCTGCTCTCACAAGCCTGAACAAACGTTCCCTGAACCATCGCCCCTCGGAAATCCTCCACCCTGCCTCACCAACGCAGCTGTGCAACGGCCTTGATTAGCAGAGGATTGCCCGCCACAAGGCAAATTCCCCTGTCTTCAGTTCTCCCGTCCCCCTTCCCTTCCAAACACCAAGCTTCATCCCTCCCGCCCACCGTGTTCCAACGCCCCCTCTTGGCTACGTCCCTCCCGTTGTCATACGCCTTTCAAAAACCCCATCCGAGGGCTCACGACCCCAGGGACGGTCACTGGCCGCCCGCCCATCGTCACCGCTCGGTCCGAATCAGCCCCGGCCTCCTTGACGCCTCAGCGACGGCCACCCTCACAGCCCACGCGCACGTCCCCGCGGCCAGCGCCCCCACCGCGGGCACCGACCCCGCGCACCCGCCCTCCCTGAAGCTCGCCAGCGTGCACATCGCGGCGGCCAGGTGCAGCAGCGGCGGGCCCCACACCCTCAGGCCCCCCTCCCCCGCGCTCAGCCCGCTGAAGAAGACCACCGTCCCGGCCGTGTGCAAGGCCGAGAAGCCCAATTCCAGCAGCGCCAGCGTCAGAAAATAGGACATCTGGGGGCAGCGGTCCACGTAGTAGGTGGCCTCGCCCGCCAGCAGGGGCAGCGCAGCCAAGAAGAAGAACACCGCGTGCGCGGCTCCCTGGCCGAAGCCGAATCCCACGCTGACGTGCAACGCGTCCGATGGGCTCCACGACTTGCCCGTTCGCCGCGCCGTGTCCGCCAGCGTGTTGGTGGTCATGCGGTGCAGGACCCAGAGCAGGTAGCGCGCGGCGGTCTCGATGGCCACGGCGGCCGCCAGGGCGCCGGCGTGAGGCCCCGGGGAGGGGTCCAGGGGCACCAGGCCGCGCAGCAGCGACGCGGTGAGCAGGAAGACGACGAGGTAGTAGAAGGCGGAGGCCAGGGTGACCAGGACGACGAAGGAGCGGCGGGAGATGAAGAGGACGAAGAAGACCAGCGGCGGGCCCACGCCCACCAGGAAGTGGCCCAGCAGGGAGACGAAGCCCATGGGGGACGGCTCGCCCTTTGGGCTAGGTCGGTCTTGGCTTCAGAAAGCGGGGCCGGCGAGAGGCCGAAGCGGGGTTTTTGGTTCGGGCGGAAAAGTCGCGCGGGCAGCTTACACTCCTGGGGCTCGTTGCGCAGGGGACGGCGGTTGGCAGCGGCAGTGCACGATTTCACGCCTTGCAGGTGGCAGCAAGACTAAACAGCCATACTAGAAACACAATGCGGATCTGCCGACCACCGTATTCCATTCGGCGACGTCTCCCGCCAAAATCATGTGGCCAGCACAACGCCGGCGGTCCCGCCGGGGGCGGGAGCCATGCTCTCTCGGCAGGGAGCCTTCGCCGCGGGCGCGCCATGGAGGCGCTCCGCGCTCTTCGCCCCCTTCTTGTCCACGCACCGCGCGGGCCAGTCACGCGGCATGCACTCTGCGGATGTTGCCCCTCCAGGGGATGTCCCGAGTCGGCGGTCTCCCGCGCGTCGGTAGGCTCCCAGGGACAGATTCCAAGCGGTGCGTGTCCTCAAGCGCTAAGGAACCAGGGCGACAACCGCCTACAGGGAGACGGTAGCCCTGCCCCAGACGGCGTTCAGCCAGAGGGCCAACTCCGCTGTGCGGGAGCACGACATCCAGGCCATAATCCAGGCCAGAATAATGGCTTTGAGGTGTTTGCTCCGGTTGACGACAATGGGGTGTTCACAGAGGCAGCTCTGGCTTGGCAGGCAGGGAGGAGGGAAGCCAGGCAGTCCTGATGGACTTGGAGGGCAAGGGAGTGCTCCCCAAAGAGGAGGCCTATGTCCACATGTGCCCGTACGACTGGCGAACCAAAAAGCCTGACCTATTCAGGCCCACAGAGCAGTGGTTCACATCCGTGCAGGGCTTCAGTGAGTGTGGCCTGTTGGTCATCAAGGCTGAAGCTTAGACGCCCGCGTCGGGCTTCGGTTTTATAATGGCATAGTGGAGAGAAGATCGGATAGGTGCATCCAGGCGGAGGTGGTGGTGGGTGCCATCCCAGCTTTCTGTGACGCACAGGCTGGGGAGTCCCTAATGATGGTGGAAACCATAGCCCACATCGCCAGGATGGTTGGCAACCACAGCAGTGACGAGTTGTGGCAGGTGCTGGTGGAGGACTTGCTGTGCAACGCCCTTAAGGAATAGGTGCCAAACCTGAAGAAGGGGCAGGACACGATGGATGTGTGATACGATTGTGGAGCCAGCAGGGCTGGAGTGCTGCAGAAGGTCCCGAATCTGAAGTACCCTGTGAAAATGAACCTGGAGGTATCGGACCAGCACACGAGGTGTTTCCGGAGGTCCCTGCTGGCAAGTGTGGGGGCGGATATTGGGATGTCCCTCTGCAGCAACGTCCTGACCCATTGCTTCCTTCTGGACGAGTCTAGCAACAAGATCTCCAAGGGCACGGGCAACACGATGGACGCATGACTCGTGATCGAAGGGGTGACAGTCTTGAAGGAGATGGCTTATGGTGCAGATGTGCTGCAGCTGTGGTCGTGGCTGTCGATTACACAAACGATGCTATGTTTGGGCCAAACATTTAGAAGCAGGCTGCCAGATGTGAATAGGGAGGTCCCCGCCACCGTTCACTTCCTGCAAAAAAACTTGTCCGACTTTGATGCACGGCAGCATTCGGCGCCCTACCTGAGCCTCCATTCCCTGGACAGATACATCCTCAACCATTCCATGCCATCCAGACCGACGCTGATGGCGCACATGATGCTTACCGATTCTCCAAAGCGTTCCACCCCCCGCCCCCAGAAGGTTGTGGTGGTGGACCTCTCCCAACTTCTACTCCGACATGCAGGACAGGCTGGCTGTACGTGCAAGGCCAGCTGCCAAGCTCCCGTCGGGCCTGCCAGATGGTGATGCACCACATCCTTGCTGGCTTGATTTCGTTGGTGGCGCCCATTCTTCTGCACGAGCCAGACGAAGCCTGGCCGTGTTGGGATGGCCGCGTGCCTGCAAACTGCAGCTATGTGTTCACGAACGGCTGGTGCAGTCCCAAAAAGGACTGGCAGGCTGAGTGGTGGAGTTCTCACACCTCACGCTGGAGGTCGATCGGGAGGCCAAACTGATAGGGGCGCCGCTGGAAGCCGAGATGCTGATCCACGTGCACGACTCAGTCAAGATTGAGCGGGCGGTGTCTTCTGGGCGCCTTCCCAATGGCGTTGACGGGCTGTGCTGCATATTATCACATCATATTTTGATATGGTCAGCGGGGAGTCTGCTGCACAGGCGCCGCACACCCTGAGAGCGGTCGTGTGGGATATGGGCTGGGTCGCCGTGGGTGCGATGAGGGCCGATGGGCAGAAGTGTTCTTGGTGTTGGAACTGGAGCGAACAGGTGGGGCCGGACAATGAGCACCCGCAGCTGTGCGAGACGTGTTTGCCAGTGATAAGGGCAGGGGCTTTGAGTTGCGGTGTAGGGACGGCGAGGAGTCATTGGTTAGGGCCAAGTCGTAGCCATGGCATCAGTACTGGGTGGGGAGAGCAACGATGGCTCACACTGTACACCCACTTAGCGGGTGCGTTTTGATCACTGTTGTCCAAGAGTGACAAACCGCTGCAGCTTCAACAAAATGGCGATGTTGGTTGAGCGACTGCCCACGATAACAGGCTTGACCACTCTTGATGATTTGGTGGCCGGAGGCAGTCAAGTTGACATGGGCGTCGGCCCAGTATAAGCTTCACCTGTTGGGAACTTATTGGGGAGCGAATTGTAATTATTGTTTCCGGGATTGAGCATGTTCGGGTGTGTTCATAGTGTGGCGGTCTAGGGAGTTGGCGTTTAGCGCACCCCTGAAGCGGCTGTGCGGCCTTTCGTGCCAGCCATCATCCTGGCATGCCCTGCACACACACCAGCTTCAGCTCGATCTCTGTCATGACGCCTCCCTGAGCTGCATGTGCCATGACCTGATAACAGCCATGGGTACATGAAGGATGCTTCCGCTGAGCGTCTGCATTGTTGATGGCGGCCCCGCAATTCTACTGGTATCCTCTGCATCACAAGACGAAGCACCAGTGTGCGGAATTATGATCTTGGGACATTGAATGCGCCGCGTTTCAAGTTTCTGTGCCCACGTACAGGCTGCAAGGGCCTTGTTTTGACATGGCTGTTCTGACAGCCGCTAAGTTGGCTGTGAATCCTCAATTCGGCATCGCTCTTGCTGGATGTCCAGCCACGGGCGGCAGCATGGATAAACTCAGTCGCTCGCAACATTGCGCCCCAAAATAGCACTATGAAATGAGGATGGAGCGTTCTACCGCATGTCTTCAGCGTTCAGACATCCTGCGTTAACCTCGGTGCACAGCAAAATCTGCCGCTGCTTGCCTTGATTACAACGGCCCACAGAGTGATCACATGAAATTTCGCTTGAAAGCGCTACTGCAGGGATAAGGAGTGTTGTGAGCCTTCGGACGTGCTTCCAATTTTCTGCAGGAAGATGACAGCTGGCAATGGTCAGCAGAATGAGCACATCGGGACACAGGGATGGCCTGCAGTGTGCAGGCGCCGCAACTGAACATTGCTGTGGCAAGGAAGGTTGCAGCTGAGACAAGATCTAGAGGGACGACAGCCCACAAGAGGCGCGTTTCGAGCGGTCGCTTAAGTGCCCAGAAACCACAATTCCACACGCGTTTGGGCTACTACAATTCTGATGTGCAGAGCAGAGCCTTGGCTCTGGCAATTGAGGCATCCCCATCCCTGCCTCTCAAATTCAATCAATCCAATCAGAACAAGAAATATAATCACCATGTCCATGCCACCACCAAAGACCACAAACAGTCTTCAATTCGTGCCAATGTGGTCACGTGCTGCCTCTCTTTCCTTGAAGCTGCGTCCAACATTTGTGTCGAAACACAGAGCTCTGTACTCCAGAGCGCTTCCTGGTGCTTGGACCCACTCAAGCAGCTCGTGCAGAAGGACTCACCCACCAGTGCCTGCATTTCAAGCCCAACAGCAGCCAAGGTATTCCCCTACGCAGCCACCAGCCATTCTAAATGGATCCGCGAGTGCCAGAGGCTCGCTCAACCCTCATTGAACGGCGATGATGATCAGGATCAGCAGCACGATGATGAGTGTCACGATAGTACAGAAATACCACTTCCCCCCAGATTTCTTGATAACCTCTTGAATCTTCCTCTGGGCGACCTTCAAACGACTTTGAGTGACCCCCACATCCTCATCCAGTTCGTCAAGCATGTCTGCCTGGGTGGTCAATTCATCATGAATGGTCAAGCCTATCTGCCCTAACCTCCCGACTGCTGTATTTATCTCCTCCAGCTGGTCGTCCTGCTGCCTGAAACCAGTCACATATGCTAATGAGCTGCAAATCGCTAACGTCGACAGACTTTGCAAGTGATTCGTGCACATTCTGGAGGAGAACAATGCAGATGCACAAGTGACTGTCGCTGCTATGCAGTTACCAAGGGGCACCTGGCACAGTGCCAATGGGTACACCGCACCCTTGCACAGGTACTAGACAGTGCTGTGTGAACAAGACAATTGCAATCAAGGCAGATCTCTGCAGAACAACGAGGCAAAGTGCACTGTTCTCTCAGGAGAATACACAGTGGGCACACAGACCCCGCCTGTCAGAAATTTTCCAACACTTATTGGTCACTGGCCAAGGCTGCATTATGCAACAAGCTTTTGGAAGTAGTTGTAATAGTATCCACAAGACAAGCACTTGCTTCAAGTTGCCCATACAAATGGGCATGACAAACAGGCACAACAATCTTGAAGGGAGAGTCTGCTGGCTTGTCAGAGCCACAACATAAGAGAGGAAGCCAACAGGGCGATCCATAGTGTTCTACTTGCAGAATATGCATGTGTGTGCTTTAAGCTGTCCAACTCACCTTGTGATCATCTCCATCTGCTGCCGTTGATCTGTGATGAATTGATCGTTTTTTTGGACAGCACCCTGTGAGCCTGGCTCGCCCCTTTGTGCGCGCTCTGTGGCAGCCTTCACGGAGTTCTCCATGTTGCTGATCTGCAACGAATAGGCATGCACTGGCATTCTTAGAAGTGCAAAACATGGTGTTGTCAAAGAGGAATACGGCCACGTTCCCTCAGTTGCCATTGTTCCACAACTGGTCAATGAACTGACAGACAAGACCAAAGGCATTGAACGTGCTGAGAGCTTCATCAGCGGAGGCCATGTGGCAACAAGGTGCATTCGTACCCCATTCGCATCCAGACGCACCTGTCGCCTTGTGGTGGACAACCAGCTCTTCCGCCTCTCAAGTTCAGCCTCATTCAGGTCAAACTTTGCAGGATTTTGAGCAGCCTTGTTAATCGCAGACTGCAACTCATCCAACTGCAGCAATATCGAACAGGCATCAGCCTCAAGCTCATTTCCCCTTTGCAACGGTGTCCCTACCAGCACCATCAGCAGTGTATACGTCTGTGGCCAAGATTTTCGTCGCCTCAAGACTCACCAGTTCATCTGGTTATGTGCATTTGCCAAATCAGGACAACAAAGAGACAGAAGGTCAGATCATGAGAGGCGTCGTCAGCAGTTCTTAACTAACTCTAAGGTCTGTTGAAGGAGATGCATTTTTTAGGGTTCACATAGTGTCTGCGCAGCATATCCCTGCACCTCATCAGAGACAGAATGGCTAATCCGCTTTACAGGCAAGCTCTGCAAATCATTGCTTCGGGTGTGGACATGGAAGCAAGTGCATCTACTGGAGTCCAAGGCACGAAAGAGTCTATTTTCACGAAGAGAGGACTGAACTGACCCCAGGAGTGGCACAGTTCGGTCAGGAGCAGTGAACTACTGGGATGTCCCCAGATGCTGATATTTAAGGATGAATGCTGCTCTAGAATTGGCAACTATCTATCCCTGCCAGTTGCTTTTGAGCCACCCAAGGCAGGCAGGACAGTTGCACTGCAAACTGGCCCATTTGACAGAATAAGTGAGCCCGAGGCAGCAAAGGCATCTGTTACGCACAGCAGCAGGTGAAGACCAACACTGCAACTGCAGCATTATTGCTGTCGGCTGCGTGGCTGACAAAGAGCATTGACAGACCACTGTGCTGCCCACCTGCCATAAAACATTTCCACAGCCCTGTCGGATGGCCTTGCCCAGCTGCAGTCGCTCAGGGTTTGAGGGTGACAGCCCACCCCACCGTGCAAACTTGCTGAGCAGGCTTTCAACCTGGCCAAAGGCATGAAGCTGAGGTCAGATGCTAGGCATCCTACACCCAAGCACCAAACACACACAAGCACACCACTTGTGCGCCAGGCACAGCTGGTGCAAACACTGTCCCCTCAGGCGATCGTTGCTCTGCGGTTGATCTTGGAGCTGGTAAGTTGAATGCAGTTCCAAGTGTCTGCTACAACTGCCCTATGCAACAACGGTAACTGCACAGTATGCCAGGCACGACGTTGGCTCATCCGGACCCTAAATCATTTCGCCTGGAGACCGTGTGACATCAATGCACTGTGCTGAGTGAAGTGGACAACTGGCTGGCACTGGGTCAACCTGGGCAGAAAACACTACCGAAATCCAGCACCTGCAAGGAAGGGCCCAGGATGTTGAACAGAAAACAAACCGTATCTCAGGCGCAGCCTCTTCGACCCTGGTTGGCCTTGTTCCGTCCAAATAGACCCGATCCGGCCTGGTACTGAATATACTCTACCAAAAGATCGTGGTTGGCGACAAAAAGTGAACCCCGACTTGCTAACCTCAACACCTCTACGTTTCCGCCCTAAAGCCAAGGAGCGCAGCACGGTGTCCAGCTGGAGCCCAGCGCAGCAATGCCCGTGGCCCACACTCCTTGCCAGGCCCCAATTGGCGTCCGCGAAGCCCACATCCGAAAGGGACATTCAATATCAGGACGCAATGCGCGCAGCGAGAAATAAATCCTATCCCAGTGGGCAGAGGGCCAGGTTTCAGATGTTGCAGACCAGGATTCTGGCGATGCGCGTGAGGACAATCTGAACAATCCGGCCCCAGCGACCGCCCTACACCGTTGACGTGATTGCCCAGGCCGGGCGCTGAAACTGCTTGAAACGGGAATCGCTCTCCAGCACGGCGGCAGACCTTGTATGCCCCTTCCCCAAAATCCCCTCCGCCTTAGGCCCCATTTCTTGTCCAAAACCGCCCCCGCCGGGAAGCATGGAACCACAATTTGGCCACCGCCATGGCTGGCAATCCCACAGTCACCCACACGCGCGCAGCTCGGCCCGATCCCCGATCTGCCGCTGTGTCGCGCACCGTTTCTTGGATCTCTTGCCGGACGAGGTAGAACGGATCGTTCTGGCCGGAGTTCTTCATCCTCTCTCCCCCAACCTAAGTCTGCCGAGGTGCCGTCGAAGGGCGGCCGCTGGCGAGCTGCCCTCACTCCGCCGACAACGAGAGCCGACGCGCAGGGCCGCGCCCGCGCCGAGCTCCAAAACGCGCCCCCCGCTGCGTGGCGGAAATGCGGCGAGGCGGCAGGGGCGACGCAGCAGGCGGCCGTTGCCGAAAACCCGCACTTCGCTTCCCCATTCCGCTGAAGCCGAGTACATTGCACCAGACCGGTCAGTCACACGCCCCGACGGACCGCTGCCCGGAAACCGTGCCCTATCCCGCACTCCGCGGCCCCCAAGCTCGACTCACGCCCGCAGCCTCGCAACTACTGGTCCTCCCCCCCACCCCAATCCTCGATGCCCAACTCGCATTGATCGATGCCTGGGGTGATGTCACCTCCACGCCCCCGCAAAACAGCGCCCCGGGCTCCAAGACGCCCAGAGGCGTCCCAATCCCCCTTCCCTCCTTTCTTTTGTCACACTCAACCGGGGACCGCCGCGGTTCCTGGTCCCAGGCCTCCCGCCTCGGGCCGCCTTTTGCTCATCCCCTCCACCGCCTCGAGCTCCGCGTTCTTTGCCTTCCCCTCAGAGTAGTTCGCCCGGGGGGCGCCCTCGGGGGCCGGTCGGGCGCCATGGAGACCCTCCAGTCCGAGGCCAACTTCGTGATAAAGGACCTGGACACGGGACGGCAGTACGTGCTGACGCCCGAGGCGGACGGCGGCGGCGCCGCGGCTGAGGTGCCGGCCGCGGGGGGCGTGGCCGATCCCGCCTCCGGGAAGGTGCTGTCGATGGACGAGTTTGATCGACAGCTGGGGATCCGCTCGGGGCGATCAGCGGTGAGAGGATGCAGGGGAATCGCGCGGCTGGCCCGGCTGCGTTGGTGCGGCGTGCGGGAGCTGCGCCGTGGTGTTTGGGCGGGGTGGTGCTGGGCCTGTGTTTGGTTGCGGTTGGGGCGGCTGTTTGCCGACGGGGGACTGGCGGGAAAGCCGGGCGCCCCCGCTCAGCGCGCGCCTGCGGGGGCGGCCGCCGGGATGCGAGAATGGTCTAGCGGGGTGGGGCAGTCGCCGAGGTTGAGGAGCTCGGATGGTCCGGGCGCGGGGGGGCGAGGCCTGGACAACGGACGGCGATTCTTGGATGGGGGGCTTTGGGCGTCTTGGGGCCTGCGGTGGCACCTCACCGGGGGCAGGGGTGTTCCCAAACCCGCCCGCCCGCCCGACCCCCGCCCCGGTTACGCGCTGGCTCTCGGTCACTCATCTGGTTGTTTGGGCTTCGGAGGTGCCCAGTGGCGTCAGAAATGCGGTGGCGTTGAATCCAAGTTTGGGAACGGCCGTGGCACTCCCTGCTCATCAGCCAACGTTGCCGGTCGTTCCGCCGGCGCGCAGCGAAACAGCGGCAGGCGCAATTGGATGGGCGCACGCGCCGCTGATGCAGGGGGCGTCGGTTTACTATGTGCCATTGGGGTGCGCTTCTTGGGCCAACAACACCACGACATTATAACACAAACCGATCGCCGTGGCGCCATAGCCTAGAAGCGCACAAAGTCACCCGGTTGGTGTGCTGTGGCGTTCATTGCCAGGCGGCAGGGGCTGTTGTCCTATGTGTCGTTGCACAACGTTTCGTTGCAGACACGTGTCCCGTGTCCCACCTCGCATTGTGGCTTGCTTTATCCCCAGAAATGCCAATAATCCTGGGCCATGGTTTCCTGGTTGGGAAGGAGAGCTGCCATCGCAAGGATGGGCTTGCCGTTTGTTGGTATGTTTTAGATAGGTTGTCTGTCTTGACTGAGTTATTTCACTGTGCTGTGTGTGCCCCAGATTGCCCACCAAGGAGATGTGAGCAGCAGTGATGGCGACAGCCCCAGGGCATCTGATGCACAGAGCAGTGCATCAACTCAAACTGGGCAAGGGTTTTCTAAGCTGAGGAAGCTTCCTAAGCTGAAGGGGTGAGTAAAGGGGTCATGCTACAACTGAAAGCAGCCTGCAGAATTCCTCATTTTTACGTTTGTTCAAATTCAGGACAAATCATGACACAATCATGTAGAAGGCGATTGCAAGGAAAGGACCCTTGCACAGCCTATTCTAGTGGTGATGTACGTTCTGGCACAGCAATTATTGCAAGGCTGCGCACTTGCTGCCCCAAAAAGAAGGGAAGCATGTCATGCTCTGGGCATGCCTGCCCCTCCCAAACATGGATTGTCAACACTCATTCTGCGTTGTATGCATGATGCCAAACTCTCCCTGCATCTGGAAGGGAAGCAGCAGGCAATAAGTAAAGGTTGATCATCGAGTACTTGGTAACGGTCACCACTCTTGTGCCTGCTTGGAGCTGGACCTGCACTAGGAAGTCACTGTCACCTTCAACTGGAAAATGCTTCAAATCTTGGGGTTTGGTTCCTGTCATTGCTGCTGCAAAGATGTTTGGCTGCACACACAATACCGAATGCCAATGTGTTTACTTCTCCGCACTGCTTTCGAGATGCAACGTCGATGCTCTTTTGCTGACAACTGCAATCTAGACAGGAACTGTATGAGGATGGTTGTGGTTTGGGTGCACAAACTGTGCCGCCAACCGACTAGCTTAGCCTTTATGGCGAAAATCCAACAGTTGTCCTCGGATTGCATGTTTTGTGATGTACCCACCAGTGGTGCACTATTTCAGTCTCAATAATTGACTTGTTGCTGATGTGAGCTGCTGCGTTCTCATGTTCTTGGCAGAATAAAGACCCTCTTGAAGACTGAAGCGACCCTCAGGTACATTGCCAGGGCTGTACGGTATGGGCATACAGAAAAGTGCAGGGTACTGCGAATGTGTGGTGCTGGAGTACATGGTCCTGCATGTTCATTAATTATTCCCCCTGCAAACAGTCTTGCAGAATTTCAATCATGCTATGTAGGCACTTAGTAGAGTTTAAGAGTGTGACAGTGTGCTGCCACAGTTGGGGATACAGGGCGCTAGCTGGGCTGAAATGGGTGCATAAATAGATTTGCATTGAGGCATCAGTGTCCAAGGACCCTTGTTGTTTGTTAATGTTGTTGTTCAGCTTTTGAGGTGCTTGAGGATGTGTTGCACCTCTATCCCTGACTGGTGAATCACCAGACATTTTTCCCAACTTAGATTCTCATAGCCTGAATGGTGCTGGTGTTGTTCAGTGGTAAGCACAAGAGAAAAGAGATACACCCTCACCTGAGGTTATATGTGTTCATGCACAGTAAGAAAATCCAAGGTCTTCGTGGGAGCTTGACAGGAAAGCGGGATGGACAGGGTGACAGCCCAAAGCAAGATGGCCAAGTCGACAGTCCGGTGTCCTCGTCTGGTGGCTCTCCCCAATCTCAGTCTAACAGCCCTGGAGGGGCTTTCGCCCAGGTACTTGCGCCATGTGTTTGCTTCCCAAACAACTTGCATTTCAACATGGTGTGCTGCCTGCAGAAGTTAGGGCTGTCTTGTGATGAGCAAAACAACAAAAAGTCCACAACGAATGCCTGTGGATATGGCAGGGTCAGCATAGCCCGATGGGTGGGAGTGCCATGCATTGTGATCTGTTTGTTTGCACAAGTCCAGTTAGAAGAATTTCCAGCACACCATGGTGTCATGCCACTGCCCCACGCATGGACAACTGGAACATCCACTGTGTACAGATCTCTGTTCCCCTCCAGAGCCTGTTGTAAATACACATGCCTCAACACACGAAAAGTGGACGAAAATGGCGGATCCTCCTCACCCACCCACCCACTCGCTCCTAGAAAAGAAAGAAATACATCGTGCTAGGTCCTTGTTATGGTTCTGTGGACGTCTTGTGTGTGTATCTTCTGCGGACTGCTGAGTTGCTGCAAGTCTGTGGCCTCTGTACATCTCCGGTGTGGTGGTCTTGTCGATGGGTTGTCAATGGGGCACGTGTGGAGCTGGCCCCCCACTGTGCTTTGGTAAGCTCCACATTGATAGCATGCTGCCAAAACAAGACAAAGAACAGCACTTGTGCGCCTGTTAGGCGATGGAGGTTGCTGTTGACATCTGCAAGGAGTTGATTCCGCCTTTTTGCAGAAGAAAAGCCAGGGACAGCACCTTTTGGCAGCTCAAGATTGACGATGGGCCCACGCTGCCAGCATGCAGGAAAACATGGACAAGTGTGTGGGTTGATTGTCTGTCAAGAGCGGCTGTGAATGGCTTGCCACTGAATGGCAGGCTGAAGGCTGAGTGGCTGGATGGCTGTGTGACAGCCTTGTTTTCATAAGCTGAAGGAGGCCTGTGGAAAATCGGAGTCTACTACATTGGCTGCACGTCAGTTTTGAATTGTGTTTGGCAAGAGATGTTGCCTCTTGCCATTTGTATGTTGCAAGGCCTATGCTTCAATGCTGGTTTGCGTGGCCCGCAACAATGTGTCTAGGGTTGAAGGGGCAAGATTTTGCTGGATGGATGCAGTAGAATGGGATTTGAAGCAACCTACACTTATTCCAGACAATAGACCACTGGTCACCGCTGCTTTGTGCCTGATGGCCATATGCTATCTGCTGCAGAGGGAAGAGAGCGATCCAAGTTTGATGTCGCCGATTCCGGCTGCTGATCGCGCGTTACCTGCCAGTGCCCAGCTGGAATCACCACTTGCGAGGTGTGGCACTGCCGGCTTTGGCAGCACGAAAGTGGGGCACACCCGCAGACCTGTGAAGGAGGTTTCAGATCTCCGGCTTGTCCAGGAGCTGAAGGGCCACAAAGGGGTTGTGTGGACAGCTCGATTCAGCCCTGATGGGACGTTACTTGCCAGTGGGGGCAAGGATGCTGTTGTGCGCATCTGGGAGGTGATATCAAAAAGGTGAGCAAGTGGCTTGATTGGGCTGCGCTGATTGTTGCGGACAGAAGCACATTGTGTAATGGGAAAACTTACCTCAGCAAAGGCTCTGTTTATGTGGTCGTTGTTGGTGTTATTATGTTGTAAGTTGCTTTTGGTAATTGGTTGGCAGTTTTGTAGTTGTTTATTTTGTTTCCAATCTCTTCATTAATTTAAAACGTCCATGTGCAGCCCTCATCCCAACAGAATAGATGCGGGTCTTGTGCCACCTGGCAAGAAAACGTGAGGTTGATCGTCTGCAGTGGAATCCACAATCTCGAACAACGAGGTACTGAATTCTAGAGCCGAGCTGTGGCAGATCAGAAGGTGTTGTTGCTGTTATTGTTGCTGGTGAACCTGCACTGGAATTGTTTTGTCTCTGTTCGTGCTGACAGATTCACCACACAGAAACCATCCCTTGATTGGGTCATCGTTATCCATCTGATTCACACAAAACATGGAAAGAAAATACACCTACTGTGCTTCTCCAAAGTCGCATACTGCAGCGCACTGCATGTGTGTGCCTGTGGCAATATATTGTGCGGAAGTGATCAAGAAGCAGAAGTACACACAGCCATTGGCTGGAAAAGATCACAACTGTGTGCAAACAGAGGAAAAGCAAATGGCCCCTCAGTGGCACCCCTACATAACATGCCAAAAGTTGTAGTTGGAAAGAAGCCAGACAGCACACCATGGAACAGGTGGGGTTTGTCAGGCAGAGCTTGTCTGGACTGGCACCTGAACCATATTCATATACAATCCCTGTAGCCATATCCATGTGGTGGTATGGAGACCTCTATTGCTGGTGCAGTTGGGATGCTGATATTGATGGGTTTTTGGGAGGGCGGGGGTCTGTTGGAGCTTGGTGAGCCGATTGTTTTTTAATCTCCACAGCACAGGCAGCATTGTCAATCGCAGTTGGCATTTGACGGAGTGTTGTGTGAAGCAGAGTATCTTCTAGTTGTGGAAACTGGAGGCAAAACTTTGCACCTGAAAGTGTGCAGTAGTTCTGTTGTGGTCTGTGGTGCTTTGGCTCCATGCATATCTTTGCCAGCATGGTGCAATCATTGACGTCTACACTCTACAGATTATGGCCTTCATGGGACAGGTGGAACACGCTGAGCATTGTGGGACAACCAAAGAATTTAGATATCTAAGTAGCTACAATGGCCTTCCATGTGCAAGGGCACAAGCCGAATGAGATCCAAAAGAATTTCAATATGAAGAGCGAGCAGCCGTTGTGGACAGCAATATCCTGCTTTAAGGCCATTGGCATATGTTTTGCAGGTTCACTGCAGACATGTTCCATAGCTACTGTGTCAGAAGTTGTGCACAAGGACGCATTTGCTCACTAGCTGCATTATGTGCGACTCAGGGCCAACAAGGAGAAAGAGAAATGCTGTATAGACTTGCCTGTCTTCAGGCAGGACCCGGTGCGCGTGTGGAAGGGCCACCATGCTGACATCCTGAACATCGCCTGGTCCTCTGAGTCCCAGTTCGTGCTGTCGGCCTCCCTGGATAAAGGGGTGCGCCTGTGGCACATAACCAAGGACCAGTGCCTGAGGGAATTCCAGCACCAAAACTGGGTGACGTCCATCAAATTCCACCCCAAGGATGCGAATCAGTTCATATCGGGCGGCGGTGATGGGCTGCTGAGAATGTGGAACGTGATGGAGAGGCGCGTGGTGGCCTCTGCTAGCATCGCTGCCGATGGGGACATGTACACTGCCCTCACCTTTTCAGACGATGCGAAGATGATCGCCGCAGGGACGTTCAAGGGCAAGTGTCGCTTGTATGAGGTGTGTGCGACCTGCAAGAGCTGTTGCTGCAGCTGTTGATAGGATTGCATAGGGCATCAGTGCTGGAAAGTGAGTCATGCCTCCGTCCCGGTTGATACGAGGCCTTGTCCTCAATCCACTGCCCATTGCAGAACAGACGGAAATGAAACACACCTAAGACAGCAAGACAGCTGCATTGGCAAGTAGTGAGAAGCAGCCATCGCTGGCCTTTTGTTGCTTTCTGCTGGTGGCGATGCCTTTCCTGTGCAGATGTAGGAACTTGCGTGAAGGGAGGTTGGCCGTATCAACTTCCATGTTTATTCTGGCTTTCAGTATCGCTGCTGATGCCCCTTCATCGAAGTCCTTGCATAGCAGCCACCCTAATGGTGCGCAGTGAAGTTTTGGTCTGTCTATTGTTGCTGTTGCCTTTGATGATTTCAACAACGTTTCGTCACATTCAAGAGCCCAGGTTCCGAGCCTGTCCCAACAGAAGAGTTGTTAGAGTTGCACCACTTCCTGAGAATATGCAGGCGACGTGGAGCTTGAAGGATTGATTATGTGGGTATGAATGGTTAATCTCAAAGAATTTCGGCACTCCTGTGGGGGTTCCTGGCAGATCAGAAATATTGTCTTGTTGACAAAGTTGGCAAATTTTGAACTACAGGAGATTGCATGGGTTAGTGTGTTCTGGTGATCCAGCGAAAGTGTCTTTCGTTGCTTTCCAGGTGAATGGGAAGAGGATTGAGAAGAGGGCACAGATTGATGTTCGGAATCGGAGGGGCCGCCACTCCAAAGGGAAGAGGATCACTGGGATGGAGTATATCCCCATTCGAGGTCAACAGTCCCTCCTGCTGGTGACCTCAAATGACTCGCGTATAAGACTATTCCAGGTGTGTACCTGTCCTCCGCCAACAAGGAAGCGTAATTGTCAGGTGCAGGGGCCAGCAATATTCGCCAGCCTTGCCCTCTGTTGGAAATGTTTGTCGGACATCATATGCATGCCCACTTGTGGTCAGCCCAACCATCTAAACGTCGCAGGTGACTGGGCAAAGCAGCCAGGAACGTTCCCTGTTTTCCATTTGTGGAATGGTTGTGTCAAAACCCAACACTGATAACACCCGGCCCAGACAACCTGGTGTGTCTGTGCCTTGACAGACATCCCCAGTGGCAACAGGTGGGTTAGGCTGGTCAGGCGACTGCACATGCGCACCACGCTGGCCTGCTGGACACTGGTGAATATCTCTGTAACATGTAAATGTGGCTATTGTTGTTGCTTGCTGCTCCAGATTCTTCTGTTCTGCGTTAGCTGTGTTTGTGGTCGTCTGCATAGTTTCGTCCCCTCTGCTCCATTAATTTCATTGGGTTGTTTGATTTCTTCCATTGCTAAAAATTGGGATTGCTGCCACAGGGCCTGACGGAGGTGATGAAATTCAAGGGCCACACGAACAACGTGGGCCTGCCCATTTCAGCGTCCCACTCCCCGCAGGGCGACTACATTATCTGCGGGTCCGAGGAGGGACGTGCCTACATCTGGAGCAACTCCACCAAGCCGCTGGAGGATGCTAACTCGTCAAAGGAGGACATGCACATGCACAGCAGCGTCACCCGGGAGAAGGTCAACGCCTACGAGTGGTTCAGGGCGCATGATGGGTATGCCACCGTGGCGCTGCTAGCCCCTGACACCTGCCGTCGACCCCTTGCAGACTTGGAAAACTTTGTGGATCAGGAGGGGGTTGCTGCGGCGGCGTCCACTGGAAGGTTCAAGAGGACGTCGAGGCACACCACCAACGCCGCGGGACACGCTCCTGCGCAGGCAAACCATGGCAGTGCAGGGCAGGAAGCGGTCAACGGGGGCGGGGGCGAGAGCTACAGGCTGTGGGGGCAGGTCATCGTGACAGCAGGGGGGGATGGAGAGATACGCGTGTGGGAAAATTTTGGCTTCCCAGTCAACCTTTCAGGCTGAGCGGCTGTGCTGTGGGGAGGCCACGGGGAATTTGTTATCCCCAGCTTCATATCTCTGTACATTCTTGGATGCTGAATCCAACACGTGTGGATTGCGCCACCGACACAGAGAACATATTAATCTCCCAGTCTCTTGGTTTGGTCTCAGTCTTTTGGGAGCTTGGGTTGGGGTACAGGACACACAAGTGAGAAGACTGGGAAGTAATAGAATGCCGCGATCATGTTCGTGTTGGCCGCCGTTTGTCTCTGGGCCCTTGGTGGTGCACTGGCACTGTCGAGCAGTGTGTAGCACCTGCTGCACGCAGGAAGGCGGTGCGCTTTCTGTGCGGGCCTATCCTGGGGCTGTTAAGGACTGCCGTCGTGCCTTGGAGCCCGGCTGCTGTCCATGGGTGCAGGACAAATGCGTGCAGAGGCAGCGTGATTCTTTATTACTCGGTTCAGACAAAGGTGTCCGCCTGCTGGACGGAGTTGAGCATTGGGCAGGGGCGCAGGGCTCTTGATGTGTTCTGAACGGGAATGGTAGAAAATAGGGTAGGGATTCGTTTCTGTCGGTCTTGCTTTTCCCAGGCATGAAGCGTGACTGCATGAGCTTTGGTGGATGACTGTACAGGTAGTATGACTGATGGAGAGTGGGGCGGTGTAACAAGGCATCGGGACTAACTGTCAATAATTGCTGCTGGTTCGATGAACTCGTGCTGATGAGATTGTGCATCTGGCATTGATGAAACAGCCCCTTTGAAATCTGAGCGCCCTGAGAGACGAGGGTGCCAGATTTGGACACTTCTACAGTTCCCAATTCCGCTATATTGGGGACAGGCACACACGCTGCACCATACTGCGTGTAATGCCAGCTGCCTATTTGGCCGCCGAATTTAGAATTTGGCCAATCTTGTTCCATACACACGCAAGTCGTCTCGTTCGATTTGTACATGGACGAATGACAGCTCCACTTCTCGCACAATCGTGCGTTTTTGCCCGTCGCTAGTCCCGCCTCCCAGGAACATGCCAGCCGTACGAATAAAGAGAAACATAGAAACACAGACATGCAGATACTCTCAACATTTCATGTCCTGTGGACCTGAGTGCATGAATTTTGCTATTTGCCTCCCATGCTCAGTATTTTGACTGTGCCTGCGGAGGCTTGCACATCATCTGTTGTAGCATGGCACAGGGTCTTGCCATCTTTTGCTTAAGACGGAGTTGCCAACTGTGTTGCATGTCGCACTTTCGTGTACATGACGGTTTCTCCTCTCAACTCCTCTTGCTCTCCTGTGCACTCCCCAGTGGTGCCTCCCGCCTTTGCATTGACGGATTCCTATCGGCATAACAAGACAGACCAGAGGATAGGAACGACAGGAGGCGGTTCCAAAACACCGCACCGTGTTCACACTAGGGGAACATGGAAAGCACTGATATGCCTGCAAAAGCACGGCATATGAAATCAACCCATGCGTTTGCTCCAACCATTTCAAATGGATGACTAGAGCTTGCCGCAACAATTCGAGGCCAATGGTGCTGCTGTGGCGTTTTGCGAAGTACCCTGTGAAGGTTGGCACCTTTTTCATTAATATTTCAGTACGGTCTGGTTATAGTCTTTGAGTCCTTATCAGTACGGTAGTTGTATGTATAATAGATGAACGTTGGCGTGGGGACTTCCCACTGGGAAGACGTGTGACGCCCAGGCGTGATTGACACTGATGTGGCGAGTCCGTGGGAGACGTGCTGGATGATTAATGATGATGAGCTGCCACTTGTGTAGACCTGCCGTGTCCTTACAGATTACCAGATGATGTGCCGTGGCCTTGAGGATGACCAGGCGATGTACCATGGCCCTGAAGTTACGCCATGAGGATTGTTCCTGACAACGAAGTGTGATGAGCGGCCGCACCCCTTTTTGATGACCAGTTGTGGCCCTTTCGATGGTCTACATGAGGAGAGAGGTGCCGTCACGCCTGGAACCTGACCATTACCACGAGGCAACGAGGCTTACCCTGACGACCTGACTATTACCTTGGTGGAGGCGACGATTACACCCAATGGCGGCTGCGGTTGCCATGGCACCCCCCACGGTTGCCATGGTGGGGATAGCCATTACCATGGGGCAGCCACGGCTACCCAGGGCGGCGCTGGCGGCTACCCTGACGTGGCTTGGTGGCGCGAGACTGAGCATGGTGGGGTGACGGGCTCTGCGACAAAGGGTAATGACGTGGGAAACCGCGGGGACCTTTGCTGTAGGGTCTAAATGGCTTGAGTATTAGGGTACCGGAACCCGAATGGCACGGAAAACCGTCTTGGTACGAGGACGTAGCTGTTTGGTACTGTGCTTGGCGGGTTGCGATGCTAGGGTAACGTATTATGGTATGTTTGGACCTGCCAGGTACGGACACGGTTGCCTGGGCATATACTACTAAGGGAAACGGTGGTAGTCGAAGTGACCGAACGGAGTGTATACTTTGGTGCGCGGAAACGTTAGCACAGGGGCTGCAGTACGGCACCGCCGGTACCGCGGCACTCAACGGGAACGTGTGTGTGAGATGTGGAAGGTACCACCTATTGGAGGTTTCTTGGTGCCCTGTTGGGAAACGGAACCCGCGCTTGGACCATACATGGGCGCACGACTTTATTTGTAAAAAACACGAACCTTACGTGGCCCACCACGTTGTTTCTCTGCGTGTCTTTCGGGGATTGTGCCCCGCTGGATGGTTGCAATGCCGTGCTGAAGTCGCCTATCGAAGGCGCGTCCTCGCCATCGAGTCCAGCTCGATTGGGCGATCGTTTGGATTGGTGCGCGACCGGTACCGGACTGGAAGATTCGTCATCCGAACGCTTCTTACACGGCGCTACAAGGCTCGACCCCACACGCCCAGTGTGCCCCCACGCCACAGTTGCCATCCACTCCGTAATCAAGGCGCGCCATTGTCGCCTGTTGTGAGCAATCGCACAGCCAACACGCGCACAACGGCCACCCCCGCGGCGCTCTGTTGCCCTGTTGCCGGGACGTTGACGGCTGCACGCACATCCAACCCCACCCTCGACGCGAGAGACGCTGCCGGCGCACCCAACGCCGACGTCGTGCAAGCGCACCGTGCCCTGCGTCGGAGTCTGGCCAGGAGCCACTGCGCTTCAGAGAAGCTCAAAGCCACAGAGGGCTTCAGCATTGGCATTCCATATCACCGTTGCTCTGGGAATCAGGTAGGCGATCACAGTTCTCCCGCATGCCAGCTGAGCGCCCTCGATCCCGAGGACAGTGACAACCTGAACAGCTGCTGTCCGACTTATCGCAACCAAGCCTGCGCGTGTGTAAGTTTAAAAGAACTGCTTGAAGCGTGTGAACGACCACCAACGCACACATGATCCAGTCGCACAAAGTTCCCATGGCCAATGCCGGGCATCCGATAAAATGCCGTAGTCGCTTTGCTGAAATCGTGGGCTCTTCCGTGGATAGTTTACCCTAAGCCCAAATACTGCATAACAAAGTGACTGCAGTTACGGCAAGAAAAAAGGACTAGAGCATTGATACACTGCACCAGCGTGCGGGTGTTCTTGCGCCTGCGGTGTTGTTCAGTGGGCACAACTATGGTGAGTTCATCGCTGTGCGTTGATCTGGGCTTCACTCGGTTTAAGTAGCGGACGCGCGGGCGCCGCAGCTTCCGAAATCCGTGCTCGAGCCTTTGCCTAGACGCCCAAAAGATTCGTGTCGCACTCGACTTGTATGCTATCTTGACAGGGGCTCCTGGTCAAGATGAAGAGGAAGGCTCCCCACCAGAGCGAATCCGACGTGCCTGAAGTGGAATCGATCCGCTGCTTCGCTGCGAAAATTGCGGATCTGAAGGAGTCCCTGAGGCTGGCAAGCATGCAAGAGATCTATTGCGCGTACTCTCGCCTTCTGTCGATGGGGAAGGTCGTGGAGCTGCGGTCCTCCGAGCATTTTCACTATTTCCTAGCAGGGCCAAAGCAGCTGGGGACGTCATCTGGGGTAATGAACTGGTGGTTACGTTGCTTGGCACGTCTGGCATCAGTGGAACAATAACCCCTTTGCTGGCTGCAAAAATTGCATGCCTAAAGTGCCTTGCCCAGAAAGCAGTGTTTGCCTGGACTCCAGAGCGGGCGGGAGTACTAGATGTTGGCAGATCTCTTGGGCTTCGCTTCATCTTTGCACCTGCAGACTGTGCAAACAAGGCACTCGGGGTGATGTGCAGACCTCCAGCTCACATCATACACTGTACGAATGGCCTGCCTGGTTTGTTCCATAGAAATAAAGCTCTGGTGCGATGCCAGTCCCAACAGCTGTGTGCGCCCCTTGGTTCCATATTTAGGTTTAAGTTTAGCTCCTACATTTGCGGGTGATTTGCTGGAGTGTGCCAGTGCTGCATTGGCTATCGTGACGATCAAGATATATAACCATGAAGGCAAGGGAAGTAGGTGCAGGTTGCCCTGACATTTTCTTGGGTCTGCTGCTGCAGAGTCGCTGGGAGGAGGTTGTGGTTCCTATTTCTTCTAAATATGGCGAGTTGTCCATTGACCTCCTGGGAAAAATATTTGGGAGCCTTGCAGATTGTCCTGCAGATCGAGTGGTGTTGGGAATGGTGGACAGAGACGGCTCTGTGACAATGTACCAGGTGTTTGACGCGGTTGTGCCACCGGTTGAGCGGTCTGGGGAGGCATGCACCACGGGGCAGGATTCTGGCAAGCGCTAGGGCCATGTTATGCTCACTTGATGAGTGCTGGTGGGGGCCTCCACTGTAGTGGGGACTGTGAGCACCGTGCAGGTGAGCGCCCACGTTGCTAACATTATCAAAAATGGGCAGTGGCATTGGAAGGGAATTCTAAAGGTGGGAAGGATTTGAGTGCGAAATTCGGCATAATGTTATGGGGATGACAGGAGCAATGGTTCGTACATATGGTAATGTACTCATCAATTGTGTTGTGCATTCCTGTGCCATTCGTTCATCCACATCCAAGCAAACACATAAATTGCATTGCGGATTGTGTGACCGATGTCAGCAGTGTAGTCTAAATTGCTGGCCTCGAACTTGGGCAGCACAATTCAGGGAATTTATACACTCCAGTCACACCCATGTTTGTTCCCATGTTCCCTTTGACTACTGCTGCAGTACATGCCCAATAAGCGATTGAAAGTGATGCACTGCACAGGAAAGCTGGACATGAATACCGGTCTTCAAAGTTTTCTCAATAGTCAGTTTCTGATATATCATGTGTTGATACTGCAGATCGTGTAGACATGGGCTACAACTCGCTAAATACACGAACCCAAGACTTGCTGCAATGAGCTGGTTGGCATTGTTCCCAACAGGCAGAGTGAGGGCTCTCTCCAAACAGGGCAGCACATGTTTCCGCCAAGGGGTTTAAAGATGTTTCTAGCTGAAACAGATCGTGCACCATCAATCGATATACAATGCTGCCCAACCAATGTACATTTCCTCCCCAGCAACAAATGCCCCCCACCTGTACAAGAAACAGTGGGGGAAATGGAAAGGAGATGGTCCACTACCGAATGTCAAGATCAAAACCCGCAGCCCACCCCACCCCCAAATCTTCAGATTCCTACTTGAAGCCTAATCGTACCCCAGGCCACAACAGCAACTAGTTCCAAACTCTGGCACAAATCGTTCAAACCTACTGCTTCCAAACAAAGCCTGGCTGAGGGCGTTGGAGCTGGTCCCTGTATCAAATCCAAGTCATAAGTAGTCACAGAGCTCAATGCTCAATTCACGTGTTTCCAATCTTGCTGCCTGTAAGGCATGGACTCCCACGTGCCGACTGATGGCTTACTTCCAGCCCATGGCACCAAACAAAGATTGCCAAGTTCACAATCGGGCTGGCAAGTAACCATCCCAGCATGAGCCCTACCCCCCTCCTCCATGTAACATCTCCCAGCTGTGCCTGAAGCAGTCTCCTTTGCCACAAGCCATTCCCATTGTGTGCACAGCTCCTCTCTCGACTCATTCACAATCCTGTCAAGAGAGAAGATGGGTTCCCAACTGCTGTTTTGGGGTTAGTGCCTGGCCCAGAGTCTGCCTGCTTCCACTGTCTGAGGCAAATGCGCAGCTTGTTCGCCATCTTGGCCGTACAAGAAGCAGCCGCATGTGCCCAGAGTGCTGATTGCCAAGTCTACTTGTTGCACCTTTTCGAGCTCCTTCGAGCTGTCCCCTTGCCACCCACGAGCCCCAACTCTGCTCGGAGTTTGTCACTCATTTTGTAAGTCTCCAGCCCAGCTGAGAAGGAAGACAAAGGCTCCCAGGTATTTTCCTCTGGCTCATAACCAGCCCATGAAACCAAATAGAGGGCTGTGCCATTCGCTGTGAATTGCCTGTCCAGTATCTCCCCAACTGCAAGCTCCTCTTCTTCCGCTATTTCACCTGCACGGGGACTTCAGCACTCAAGCTTTGTGCCTAAACTGTACACTCATTTGTGGTTTGTTTGTTGGGTTGGGGTGCACTTACTGCTGAAGGCTTGCTGCCTGGCAGCACTAATTGGTAGCCATGCATGTGACACTGGCAGCAACCTGCTATTACTTCGGTTGTACTTGTCTTGGCATGTGTGCCCAGTGCCCAGTTGCGACTCAAATGCAGGCAAGAACTCAGCCTTGAGCTAGTTGACACACCACAGTGCAGGGTCCCTAACCTCCCCCTCATCCAATTCTGAAACAGATATTTGTCCCACGTATAAAAGCGAACTGTACTCATCAACTGTCTTCCCACATCTGCAAGCGCTAATTTCAATGCCGCACAACGCACAGTACCATACTAATGTGTGCAACAATCAGGGTGCCCAGTACATGTGAAGGTGGGCATTCAATGCATGTATGGGTTTGTGTGCGCCTAAATGTATGGTTCATGACCGTGCTGATCCATCAGTGTGCTGGAGTCCAGCAACCAGGTAATGCAGCCAAGTGATGCATGCCAGCACCATGCATCAGTGTTTGCTGTGTCAATCTCCTGACTAAATTCATCAGAGAAAGATGAGGCACTGGCTTTGCACCCACAGGCCAATTGTGACCCTCAGGCTATGGCACCTTTCAGAGCATGCAGTGTTTTTTGCAGCATTCTTGCCGTTTGTTAGTTCACTATGGCTGCACTACTGCTGCCCTGGTTTGACTGTAAGAGGGGAAAAAGGTGGAGATTGTTGAGAGAATATGCACCAGAGATGGGCACATCACAACCCAACCAACCTTTAGAAGCTTTTGGCTGGTCATCCTCGGTATCGTGGTTTTCAACGCGATTCTCCTGGAAGAGCAGCACAGAATGATGTGAGTGCATTGATAAATGCCGTACCTTAGTTGGATCAGAGCTGTCTACTTTCATGCTATCATTTTATATGATTGTGCACTGCTCTGTTGTGCAACACACATATGGGACTACATGCAGCTTGCTGGCTTCAGCTGTCAGGCATGGATGGGACAGCTTCGACAGCAGAACGTGGATGAGACAATGGTGCCCAGGTGGTCCAAAGGCCCCAAGCCACAGTCGATGCCCATAAACATGAAATCTGCAGGCAGCATTGTGGCATGTTGGGGGCGCCATTCCAGACTCGTGATGTAGCAGTCTTGCAATCTAGCGACCTACCTTCTGCAACAGGTCTCCATAGTCCCCAGCCCTGGCCAACATGACATTGAATGCAACTGAGAAGCAGCCCATTTATCCGCATACATTTGGAGGCTGGCATGCTCGGTACTGTCTGTGTTTTTTTGAGTGAGACAAATGTGCATAAGCTGTGAAATGACATTTAGACCAAAATAGAAAAGGGGCTGGCAACACAAACCTGCAGAAAGTGCCCATCAGTGGCTTGTGGTGTTGTATCCAAAATCTGTTGTGTGGAAGAAATCCGAAGCAGCACTTTCTGTGGCTTGATACAGGACGTTGAGATAATGCTGGAAACATGGGCCCTGTTCCAATTCGACAAATGCACATAAGACTAACAAAGTTTGCTTTTGCTGTGGTGTCTTTTAATTGCCTCAGCGTGGTCTGCAGAAGCATAGATCCAGCGAATGAACCCACACTGTATTCGCAGTCAGACCACAGAAAGATCGAAGCAGTCCCGCAGCTCTACCCATGTGCTGATGCTGAAGCACTTCAAAACGGACCGAAACAGGCCTGACTACACGACTACGATGCAGCGCAAGCATTCCACGTGCAAAAGTCAACCTCTTGCATCACAGAGCGCTTGTTTGGAGAAAAATGCAGGGACCCCTGGCGAGTGTCGTAAGGGCTGTCGCTTGTGGCATTTGTGGGAGCTATGGAGCACACTTAAAATCGATCCCTGGGAATCGCGCGCACCGGAAAATGTGAGCCTTCAGTACGGGTGCAGACCACTTGTTCAGACCCTGGAACTCGAAAGCCACCGAGTCGCCTGTCCTGAGGCCCTTCATGCGGAAACAGAATTCCGTTATTTACCACAACTTGCAGTCGCCAAAATCTGTGTGCATCAGTGGCAGGCCTCTGCAGGCATTGCACAGAATAAGACAGAGAAGCACTTGCATTGGCTTCTTAGCTCAACTGATGCAATTGCAGACTTCCTTATCTTCAAGTACAGCAAAAGAGAGTTATACCCACAACTGGATTGTTTTTTCCTTTTGCAATCAGTGACTCAACATCATCTTTCAGGGCATGAACGAGAGTGCCGCATTCCCTGACACACCAGGAGGGTACCAGTAGGTGGCGCAAGGCCAGCATCTCCTTTGTCAGAATGGGGGTGACCCATGGACTCTGAAAAGTGACGCAATGACTGGAACCAAAGGAAGGCTGGAGTGCAGAGATGTGGGTGATTCTGTTGGTTGGGGGCAATCTGCATCTTGTTCCCTTTTCTCTGACAGTGATTGCTGCCCACCAAGCATGATCCACAAAGGAGGCACAATACGTCAGCATGCCATGTGCATGCAATATCGGCATTGTTGCAGATCATCGTTGCCCGAAAGGTGCAAAGAAAGCAAATTTGTTGTGTGACGAATGCCGATCAAAACAGAATAACAAACGGCTGTAAGGGTGGAGCATGAGGAATGGAGGGCAAGGATGTTCCCACTTGTCGGATTGAGAATTCTCTCCACTGGCCACTCAGTCCTCCGCCTCCCCCATGTGGGAGCCAGACGACTTCCCAGTCGCATTCGTCATCTCCGCATCGGAATTCGGATGTGCACTTCGTGTAGACCCCAACCTCCCTGTAAAATTGGTAGGGGAGGTTCATCCAGAAGCCCCCAGAAACCTGAGATGGCGTCATCACCTGCACAATACAAGGGGCGCATTCATGAACTGCGCTAATTGCCATTTGGGAGCTCCGCTACAAGGTTTTCTAGTTAGCGTGATAGTCAGAGAGCCCGACTGGGGCCCAGCCTCTCATTTCTTCACCATCCTTGCCCTTATCACGTTTAAATTCACTGCATTTGTAATGACAGGACAAATCACAGCCCTAGAACTGATGAATGTGACTGGAGTAAGCTTGCCCTTCGAATCAGGATCTGCACTTGCGTGATCTTATGGCTGGGGTATTACAGTGTTGTTTTGGCCCAGCAAACTGCTAAGAGAGCACATGCGCCGCAAAGCAGACGCTGCTTTGTGATCAGGGTTCAGAAGAGACACAGGCTGTGGCCGCTGTGTTCAGCATTCTTGCACAAAGTGGGCACATTCGCTCTATGGTTTCGGGTGCACAATGCTGACCCTAGTTGAGGGATGCCCCACAATGCGCTCAAGGGGGACTTCTGGCAGAGAATGGAGGCATGACAATATTGATTCTTAACTTCATGCAGTCTCAATGGCCACAACAACAGTGAAGTGCAACAATGAAGTGAAATTTAAAATGTGCATATCTTTGTACTCTGAAGTTTGATATAGTACTCTGAAATGTGCAGAAACATTTTGAGATGAAACAGATCAGAAGAACGTCTTGTGCCATTGGGTGCATGTGGGCTGGAAACATTGCTCTTGGATGTTTTGCTGGGCAAATCAGCCAGAGATCAAAACTGCACAGGAGTTGGCATGCCCAGGTGGCACTTCAGCTTGATGTGGGTGGACCCAGCAAAGACACTGGATTCCTATCTTACCAAAGAACAGGCAGCAATATGCATTCTCTCCCCTCCGATTGGATAGTCACAATTTAAAGCTTGCACACCTGAGGTTTGTGTCATCCAGCGTCATCCAGTGTAGTTTTCATGTCACAAAATTGCTGGTCCTCAAATGCAAAAAGTGCAAATGAAGAGCCCAGCCATCTTGGAGAAAGCTCTTGGGTTTGGGGCTGTATGGTCGATTCACACAGATTGGGAATCTAGCACTGCAAGGCATAGTGCATCTATGCACAGCAAAGATGCAGGAATTTCACAAGCTTTCCTTCTTGAATATGGATTGCAATGCTGGTTGCTGTATGCTGAGAAAATCCTTTTGAGAGATGCAAGAGAGATGCAAAGGCACAGCACAATGCTTCAAGTATTTTGGTCCCCGCCACACCTTCACTGAGCACAAATTTTTGCACTTTTCAGCAAAGGATGTGGCAGCCGCCTCAGCAGCATCCTCTGCTTGCGATGTGGCATAGCTATCACCATAATGTGCGTAGCGATCCGATGGTCCTCTTCTTGAGCTCCTTGATTTGCCAACATGCCTACGCTTCCTGCTCAGGGCAGCACAAGAAGCATGAGATTCATTGAGCAAAATGGCTTTAGATCGGTGCATCGTCCAAAACAGGAGAAGCTGGCCCAATCACTCAACTGTCCCAATGACAAGGGACCAGGCAATATGCACCCAGCGTCGCCTGTCAGGAGCCAAGGCCTTGGTTTTTCAATGTTTTGGCGAATGAGCTCACACGAACTCATTTGACATGACGGCAATTAAATCCAATCAAGCAGAATCGTGCAACTTGTGACTGGCCATAGCACTTTTGCCAAGAGACTTACGATCCTGCAGGAATTGAAGGATGTACCTATAGATCACCAAGAGTTCCACCCCTCTTCCCCCGCGTTGACCGACAGTGCTGGCATCCAATACATGGTGAGCACTGTCCTGTGTGCCCCCACACTATCTTCCATGCCCAACACATTTTGCAGCCAGTCAGCTGTGCCAGGAACACCCCAGCTTATTGCCATGTTGACCAGGATTATATACGGGTCAGTTGACCAACTTGACACACTACATACCAAATGTAAATTAAGGCACCAACAGAAGCAACAGTGGTGGGATGCCGCAAAGCAGTTCTGAAAATATAACTTGAGCACAGTGGCGAGGTCCAAGGTACCTGGGCGTGGCACCAGGCCAGGAGAGCGCCATATCATCGTAGTAACGCTTTGGTGGCTGCTTGGCCACTCTGCAAAGGCCACAGAACCAATCAGCTGCATTGAATCGATTCCCCAGAGTCAGCTCTGGCCAGCGACATCGGCAATACTACCAAAGCTACTGAGTGGTTGTCTAAATTCATGGCCTAGTTTCATGTGCACAACACAATGCTTAGTCTGAAGCGAGTTCCCATGAAGTTCTCTTTTAACTTCGCCGGCCATCCAAACGATGAATATGGTGCAACACATACGTGTGATCTTCACATGATCTGCGTTCACTAATGTGTTTGCTGTGAAGCACAAGACGCGACAGGCCAGGTCCATGTGGCAATGTAGGTCCTGAACGATCCTTCATTCTGCAGCACAGTAGCAAACTTCGTCCTGAAATATTGATCTCCTGGGTCACTTGACAAGGGTAGGGCACCAAACATAGCCCGACAGGAACAGCTGACCTTCCCGATCGTCTTGGAGGACCAGAAGATCGGGAAGGGCCTCGCAGGGGCCTTGGCCTTGGAGGGGATCTGTAACGGCGGGCTTCTGCTCTGCAGGAAGCATTCAATCAAACAACCGGTCAATGAATCGATCAGCAATGCCCTGCATTCCTGCCATCGAAGCCGCCCCTCTCAGCGCCGACGCAAAACGATTGGGTGTAGAGGGCCAAGACATATCGATATGGTTTAGCACAGGTTGTCTAAACTGATGTCAGCATCCAGCGGCAGAGGCATTTACCCCGTGCGCCACAACACAGCGACGCAATTGGCGCAAGGGCGAGCCGAAGGCAACGCATCTCCCTCGACTGTTCAGAGCGCCTGCGTGGCATCCTCTCTTGAAGATCAGATGTTGCCAATCCTCGGATTCCACTTGTTCCAACACCCCCAGCCCCACCCCCACCCCCACCCCCACCCTGCATCGCGCATTCCACGATGGGAACAATCCTCGCACTGGAATGCTCCCAGAATTTCGCACTTGCACATGCTCGCCGAAAATTAAAGAAAAAAGCAAACGGAGAATCCAAGCGCGCCAAGTGGAGGAGCACGGGCGACAATAACAAGTCAACGCGGCGCAAATGCGCCGTCGCCCCCACAGTCTTCCAAATCCCAAAGGGAACATCCTCCACAACCAATAAATGCCCCATACCCAGCGCCGAAATACATCCCCAGGACGCACCAAGCATGGATTGCCAATTCCCCAGATGCGCCCGCCGGCCAGGGCCGGTTAACCGCGGTGTCCGCTCACCGGATGGCCTCCTGCGCCTCCCGCATCCCCTCCACCGCGTTCAGGATCCCGATCGCCGCGAGCTGCTTCCTGTTAGCTGCGACCCGCCGGTCGCGCTCCGCCTGCGCCGCGAAAACACCGCCCGGATTATCATCTTCCCATCGGACTCGATTCAATCGATGAGATCGAATGCGCACAGTCGCGATCCCGTGGGGCGAGACCGTCGAGCGGGGGGCGGCCGACAAGGGGACGCACCATGAAGGCGTTCGGCTCCGCCATGGTGGCCTGGGGCGCTCGCGGAGCGGGTGGGGGGCCTGGGTGTGGTCGGGGCCCGTTTATGCCGCCATTCCAGAAAGGGTGTTTCTGGCGAGGTGACTCACCCGGGGCGGCAGGCGGGGTTCCCGGATTCATGTCAAGGCCAAAGGCTCTTGCAAAAGTTGCCTCATGGCGCAGAACATGGCGGCAGTCAAATTGAACAATAAAAGGAGCGCCAGGCCATTATAGATCATCCTGACGGCTCCCAGAATCGGGCTCATTCTTGATTCATCGATCTTCAGCACCCATGCCATCCAGCCGAGGAGAGTAGCTATGAATTCCCCAATCCAGTGGATCCCCGCTCCCACGAATCTGATTCCCTGTCCAACAGCACCAGCCAATGCCGCCATGACCTCAGCCCCTTCCATGGGGGTCCCAAGGAATCCCAAGCCCATCTCGCACCTCAACATGGAGGTAGCCACCAATCCCGTACAGCGCAACTCTCCCACAGCGTCCACCGTTGCGCGCACCGGCCGATCAGCACCACCGTAGGGTGCTACGGCACTCCAGCTCCAGCGACCGCACTTCTCACACGTTCCGCGCAGCCCTCAGTCACTCCGGAATCTGCGCGCGTCATACTCAACACTCAGCGGGAGTGTGAGATTCGCCAGAGAGCCTCGAGCTCCTTAGGCCGGCTCACGGACACTCGGGTACCGCAAGAGGGCAAGGCCAGCGGTGGCCGGGCCTGGCTGTTACGCGCACCAGCCTGATGTGGGAGACGTCCTACTAATGGCCCTTGGTGTGGGGGACGCCTAGGCCTGTAAGGACTACCTTGACGGACTCTTGCGGCTTTTTATTACAAGATCGTCTGTTTCGGTACAACTAGCAAGCATGTGTTCATCCCTTCTCATCACACCTCAACGTCCGTTCACACCTTTGGATAGGCAAAGACCCGAACGTTATCCTATTTCAATGAAGTTCAGCCTGTACAATCAAAGACAACCAGGATTCTCACGTGCCCCTACACCTCCAGAGATTTCCTCAGACAGACGCCGAAGCCCTTCCCCGGCCTCCTCCATGGAGGCTGAGGAATCGGAGGAACAAGCCCGGGATGGGCAGGGGGAAGGACAAGCCCGGGATGGGCAGGCGATCAATACAGCCCGGGATGGGCAAGGAACTGAACAAGCCCGGGATGGGCCAGGAGGTATAACAGTCCGGGAGGACATGGCTGGACCCTCCACAGCCACATCGGCACCCGCAGCAGAAGATGAGCCGATGGAAGAAGTGGATACCCCGCCGGCGGCGGAGAAGACACAGGAGCAAGACCAGGACGCTGAGGCGGCGGCGACGTTGCTGAAGATCCTTGGTATCAAAGAGCTCCTGTAGAAGATGGCGGATACCGCGGCCGAGAAGGCGAGAGCGAAGCGGGATGAAGAGACCGCCGAGAGGATCGCCTCGCTGGAGATCGCCGTCAACAAGGCCAAGAAAGAAGCTTGAGAGAAAGAGCTGACCATGAAGAAGGCGAAGCAGCAGAGCCGCGAGGCACAAGAAGCCAAAACCTCCGCCGAAGACCAGGTCAAGGCGTTGAGTGACCGCCTCCTGAAGCAAAAGCAGCGGGCCCAGGAGGCAGAAGAGATAAGCGCCCAACAGGTGGTGCCAGCTGTGAGGGCCCCCAGTCCGTCGGAGCTGCCCATGCCAACCATTCCAGAGGAAGACTGGAAGGTTGCTGGCAAGCAGCGCTCCAAGCGGAAGAGTCCATCGCCAGGTGAGCGGCCGATGGAAAGTGAAAAATCTCCATATCAAGGCCGGGAGGCCAAAGCCTTAGGGCGAGTTGAGAGAATGCAAGGCCGGAAGGTCAAGATCCCGGAGCTATGGCTCAAATCCCAGGTGTATGTGAGAACACCTAGTGGATCGAACGGGACTGGAGATGAGTCGCTCACAGAAAGCGCTCAAGCTGTTTGCGGAAAAAGTCCGCCAAGGCCGGGAGGCCATAATTGGAGCCCTCGGAGGCCTGCGCTACCAGAATGGGGGCCGGGTGAAAGCTCAAGGGTGCTGGAGTTCGTTCCAGACACTCGAGATCCATATAACCGGCAACCACCGTGCCGTGCAATGTGGACAAAGTTCCACAGTGATCTCGTCGATGAGCTTGACGAGGGATGGCAGATGGCCGCCGACCAGTTTGGAGAAAGGTTAACCACCGCCAGACTGGTTAGAATACAAAGGTGGTATGGTCCTGGAATGGCAGATCAAATTGCCAAAGAGGACCCAAATTGGCCAGAAAAAATGGCCTTTGCGCTCAGGCATATCCCAAAACCATGGGACTTGAGCGAGGGGAGTCCAGAGAGACCAGACCCTAATGATCCCCACGAGCGGTGGGAGGAGATCTCGGAATTGTCGTTCTCATCATGTGCTTCTCCTTTGCCGGGTGATATGTCAACCCGTGCACAAGTGCATAGAATGGAGAAGGAGAGACGACGGATTCGTAACCGAGATCGTTTTGCTCGTGCCAAGAAGTTAGACGAGCAAAAGGCCAAAAAGGCCAAACAGCGGAGAGAGTTGAAAGCGCTGCGACGTGAGCGGGATCGTCAATTGAATCCTGAAAAGTATGAGCGTAAGCGAGCTCACAAACGCCAGCGCAAGGCTGAGATCAAGCGGTTTTTCTCCGCAGGAGGCAGCCAAAAGGCGCAGCGCCTGGAGGTACAGCCCAAGGTCGATGAACTGGACCCGGCCGAGAAGGCTAAGGCCTTTGCCCGTATTGCCAAGGAGGGGACCTCCACCCGCTGGGCAGACCAGCAGGACAGTAGCGGCAGTGACAGTGGTGTAAACCACCCTGCCCGCTTTGTCCCTATCCAACCGGAGCCGGCATCGCCATCGGTTGTGGTAACCAGCGGTCCTAAGGTGCAAAGGATGCCGGAGAGGGAGAT